TTGTATTTATATTGTTGAGTGGGAGATTATAACTAAATTATGTTACTGTTACTTGATGTTTGCGCTGAGATTATTATATATACATAATATATTAATATATATATATATATATATATATATATATAGTATACATGTATGATAATATTATTTTATATATTTTTTAACAGTTAATATAATGATGGTTTTTAAATTTATATTGAATTATGGATCGAAAAATTTCTGAGTTTATTTACACACATACATACACAGTTAATTATTTTTACATATTAGTTAAACGGAGAATTTACTCGAGGTAATATAAAGTCAATTGACCTCTTTATATTTATCTTTTTTAATTAGTTGATTTATGCACCTTCTGTCGAGCTCGCTTATCCGTATATCAATCCAATCTTATCTGTGGACCCGTGCAAACCAGACCTTGAAATGAATACAAGCGAGTATTGACGCTAATACACACATATTACAAACAAATCTAACAATTAGAAGCACAAAATCTATTAGGAGAATTATTATTTGCGTTCGCTGTTTCTTAAGTTATCTATGTACTATATTATTAATTAAAAAAATTCTCGATAAGGATTATACTGTATTATTTAGAACGGCGATCATGTAACTTTTCTGAACAAAAATGTGAAAAATTGCACACTTTTATAATTCGAATGGTTACATAAAAGGTACATAAAAGTTACATAAACGTTAAAATTGTTGAATGTAAAACTTTTATTTTCTTTATCTTCGCTCCTAAGGAAAAAATACGATACAATCGTTACTTTAGTATAATATAAAGGATTTTATGAGTCGACCGTAGTAACAAGTGTTAATTGCAAATTGACTTGGAGATTTCGAGTGACGAAAATGCCAAAAATGTCAAAAATGCTTCGTTTATTCAGGTTTACTAGCAATAGAAAATACCACATACCCGGAAATAAAAAGGTTTAAGTATTTTTCAATGAATTTTGGAACCTACCTCAATCAGCAGTCAATAGAAGTTAGCAGTCAATAGAATAGTTAATAGAAAAATTTGTTTTTGAGCAATTCCAACATTTACAAAGCCTGAAATTACTAAAATCTTTCAAATCACGCGCGATGACGCAGCAGTTTTTGCAGTTTTAGGGCCCTGACTTTTACCAAAGCTAAATTAAACTAATCGATGAATAATAATAAGAATTTCCAACTAATTTTCAATTTTGTAATTTATCGGTCAACAATATCGAATAATCGAAAGGTTAATAATTTCTATCTGCATTACTAGACGTAAGCGCTTAGTCTAGTTCTCTACCATCAGCCTAAATCCTAGTTATACATATATCCTGATTGATTCTTCAGCTTAAAGTAACGTCTTATGTTTGTGATTGTGTCAATTCGTGTGCGAGGGCCCTAATGCAGGATTATGCAGGATTTATATTGCTTCCGATGTCCGATATTCAATAGGAGATTTCACTTTTTAAGGTTCCTAATTAGAAACATGTTTGTCTCCAGATAACGTATTCTCCTATTGGAAGTTGTATGTCGGACATCGAGGCAGTGTGAATCCTCCATAAGGTCTACAATACGCCGTGTGTTGAAGTCGGATATCAAAACGCAGACGAAGGACCAATGAGGAGAACTCGTTCTCAAAAAATAAATTCTCTCATTGTACAATCGACTTCGTTCTGATATTCGACTCCGACATACGGCGTATCACAAATCAGTCATACTGCTGAGATTCTTAAGGTATATCCAAACAAACCTGTATAATCGCATATTGTATATGCATAAAGAAATAAACCAATCATGACCCGTGCAGAAAAAAGGATGTCTTCTATATTAGACACATGATTGGTCAATTTTCTTCTGCATATACATTATGCGACTATGCAAGTTTGTCTAGATAGGCCTTTATTCCAGTAATTGGATTGGTCGTAGTCGTTCGAATTGGAAGTGGACCGACTCGAACGACTGCGACTACGCGACTCTGCGACCGCATTGTAGATTCTGCTTAAAGGTCGGTAGTCGAGTCGATCCTTACAGTCGGTAATTTGATACGGGCTTATCATTTTTATGCCGATTGATATGCCGAACTATTGATATCTTATCGGCAGACGAATTAACGTTAATATTAGAGATTTAATATCGTTGTAAAGCTTCTCTGATGGAAATATTTTATTAAAAATGTAATGAAATATATTTGAAAATATCTTTCATTGAGATTAATTTCAATATTATTTTATCAATACTTCAGTAAAAAATTATTTTAATTAATATTTCAGCAATTTTTTTTTTAAAAGTCACACAATTCTCAATTATATTCAGTAAATTTTATATCTCTTTAATATGAAAAATCTTTTCATTACTTTTTAACAGTGGCATATCATTTTTTCATTAAAAAATATAATATAATTACCCATACGCACGCCCCTAATGGATCTAAAAATGTTTCATTGGTACTAGAGAATATTTCTTAACATCACATGTACGCACACCAAATTTGAACAAAATATCTCTAAGTGTTTTCTAGATTTTTGTAAATTTCATATTTTTTTCTTAACTTTGACACCCTGTATTTTGAAAACAATGCACTTTAGAATCCGGTGAACACTAAGTATCAATAATATAACATCGCTGTTATAATGTTCGATACAACAATGTAACTGTTACATAACACAACGTGTTTACTGGAAATATATTTTCATAGAACCTTTCCTTCGTAAAATAAATCAAGAAATATCTTTATTTTGTTGTACTTAATTAGGAATCATTCTGTATATTACACATGACGGAATCAGTTAGTGATTTGATAAATATGCAGAGAGTATGCAAAGGTCAATGAGCTTGATAAATATGCAAAGAGTATACAAAGGTCAATGAGCTGATGCGCGCAATGCTAGGCATTTTCGTCCAAACGTAAAATCTACAAAAAGAATGTCTAACACGGCGACACATAGAAAAGAGTCTCGAGACGGAAACTGTCAACATCAGTGAGATCAATGTCACTTAGAAGTTGCTCTTATACGAAGAGGTGAAAAAAGTCACAAGAAGCGTCTTTAACAGTGAGATCGACTCAGTTGAACACAGCATTCGATCGTATTCAAAGAATACACTTGGATATCTCGGCTCTCATTATTGTCTCACCTTTATAGCCACAGTGAGGGAGGGGGGGGGGGGGGNTTTCTCAAAACCCTGCCTTACGAGTTGCCCGACCAAGCCGAATATATAAAAAAGGTAGGCTTCTTCAAGCACGAGACGATGTTTTATAGCACCATAATGCCGCTGCTTTGCGAGCAGTATCACGGGGAATTGTGGGCGCCTGTGTGTTACAATGTGAAGGAGTACCTGTTGATCTTCGAGGACCTGAGCAGCAAAGGTTACTCGATACGGGACAAGTTCCTCAACAAGACGCTCGTGCTATCCGGTCTCAGTGCTATCGCGCATCAACACGCCGCCTCCTTGGCGGAAGCGCGTCTTGGCTCGCCTCTCAACCGATTGTACTCTGAAGCTTTCTCGAAGAAAGACTTCAGTTTTACCCCACAGACATGAGAGAGGTTCGTAGCGGGCGTCAACGTCGCCGTGGCTGAGCGTCTGGGATATAATTCCGATTCGGTACGTGTGGCCTGTGAGTAAGTCAATTACGCTTTCAGACCGTCCTGCACGAAGATGAACGTGGCCAGTCACGGGGACCTGTGGAGTAACAATCTCATGTTCAACGACGACATGCCGCCCAAATGCCTGCTGGTGGATTACCAACAGCTGAGGTACTCTCCTTTGGCGCACGATGTGTCGCAGTTCCTGTACTTGTGCACCGACCGGAGCTTCCGAGAGACCTGGGAGAGCGCAATGCTGCAATATTATTATGAGACACTGTGCGAAACGCTGGACGCTCACGGGATAAGCGGGTGTGAGAGACCCGCTTGGTCAGAGGTAGTCGAAGGTATGGAGGAGCAGCGTCTGGGTTCCCTCGTCACAGCGATAATATACTTCCTCACGGTTCTGATGGACGAGAAGCTCAGCACACAGATCATGAGCGATCCCGCTGCCTACGTACACCTTGAGTACACCTATCGGAACAGGACAGACTTAGTACTTTCCATCATGGAGAAAGATCCGGTCTACGGGAAAAATATCAAAGAGATTGTCGCCGAACTGGCCGAGTTAGCTTCATGGTTGGATCGCTTGCCTAAGCCATCTTAAATCTACACACGTAATGTAATTAAATACGTATTGCCTATTAGCGTCGTATTTTCAATGGCACATCGAGGGGACCACTCATAAATTTAATATTTGTCAAGTAAAATTACGTTCCTATGCATTTCACTAACTAAATGACAAATGTTAAAGCCCGGCTTTCTCGGGTAATCATATTGGTTTTATCAACGTCACAGGCGAGAAATATTCACTGCCAGTGTGCTGAGAATCTACAGTATACGTAACATAAACTATAGGTTTTCAGCGGTGACAGTGAATTTTGGAACAAGGCTTCAGATGGCCTTGACAGCTCAGAATGAACTGAAAAATGTACCATTATTTCGGGAATTATTTTGCGATTCTACGTGACATAGCGAACAGACATTTCAGTTTGCCGCATATTTCACAGGTTTTAAGATTACGAAACTATTATGTTGTTCAGAGAAGACTAAAAAAGATAAATCTATATGTCACGAGAAATTTACTGCCTGTTATTTCTTGCTTCTGACGTCATATGACCAATATGGCTGCTGAAGATAGCCGAGTCTTAAATATGTGCATAGATATATGTATTTCGAATATTACTCGAATAAATTATGAACCTTGCTGCGCTGTTTTCAAACAAAATTGTCAATAATTCTGAAACTTGTATATAATGTTTGCATATTAATCTGTAAAATCATAATAGTTTTTTTCATCAAAATCTTATTTTTACTTTAGAAGATATTCAAAATAGAAATTAAAAATAGCACGCTAATCTCAAGAAACATATGTAAAAAATGCCAACTTCGTAGTTATAAATATATCAATTCTCGAGTTGTCATGCTTTTTCTAATTGCACGAGCAATGAATTACAAATAATATTTCGATATATACATAACATAAGTTTCATCGGATCCTTATTAAACTTGCTTCACTTTATAATCTCCTTTAAAATGGAATAACTTTTAATCCGAGCTCTGAATTATTGTCAAGATTTTAGTGTCACTTTTAAATGCTCAATTTGATAGATCAATTTGTAATTTTTTCATAACTTTTTCATTAATCTAACTTATAGGCAATACATTCTTAATGTAATCGACTCGACGTTCGAATAGTTTATTTAACGTTTCGACAAAATAATCTGTACTAAAGCTCCCACATATACGGATATTCGATCATCCGGTATCTACATCACTGTTCAGATAATCCGTACAATCCATGTAAAAGTTGAAGGTAAACCGGATCCGGATGGTCTGAATATGGTTTATCTGCCTTTCAAAAGTTGCATCTATCTCCTACCGGAATAATCGCCCATAGAGAACAGAAAAATTGCAAGATTGTTGCGTTGACATTGCAATGTCAGTTTTGTAACATTTCTAATATGTATAATTGTAAAGTTCTATACTGTGTGAGCGGGTAACCTGATAGTGTCAGATCCGAGAAATTATTGAAGCCCTCTACACATTATTATTATTGTTATTAATAAGACTATTATTATTTTTGTTATTGTTATTAGGAAAATAACAATAACTCATATGTATCTCATTACACGTATCACTATTAATGTTATTCTTAAAATTATTATTATATTTTATAGTTGAACTATCCTTCTCTGTTAAAAAGTTTGTTGAAATAACGATCTTATATATTCTTACTTTGTTCCGTCAAATTAGTTACTTTGCACAATAGTTTTTACGTAAATGAATGATTGAGATTGTCCTTGTCCGGAAGTATGGTGGATAAGGAAGACCAATCATAACTGAAAAGCTCTGTACTCAATTCGTCCGTGTCTTCTCTTTCATTGGTCGGTGTGACCATAAGTTTCGTCAATACTTCATTATCATTCGGCTCCGAGGAGTCGTCTCGAGCTTCGTCATCGCTGTCGAAAATTGCATGAAAATTAATACGCAATGCTACGAAAGATCCATAAGCGTAATGAGTATAATAAGATATAATAAGATATAATAAGATATAATAAGATATAATAAGATATAATAAGATATAATAATGTACATAATATATTCTCTAAATTTTTTTTGAAATTTCATTTGAAAAATGACAACCGAGTCAATCGAAGTCGAGTGACATTTCATTCATAGTGTGAATTCTCTATTCTAAATGAATATTTTCACTCGAAATCGGAGAGTGCAATCCGATGCGCTCCACTGTTGCAAGTCCATTCTAATCGATTGAAACATTCTCTTTATGGGCTCAGAACCTACTCTAAGTTTGAATTAAATATCCGCTCTTGTAATTTCGTATAGCGATATTCTCGTTATCGCTTCGAGTGAATGTTCGCTTATTTTGAATGAGACTTTACTCTCCGAGAAATTTAGGATATATAACTATAAAAATTGTACACGGAATTAATTCAACGTACCTGGAGTCTTCGGAACGATTTTTCGCCAACAATAATATAAACGGTGAGCACAGTTCTCGTAACGACGGCAAAGTGTGGGCTGTCACGTTGAGCAGCTGTAAAAGAGATGAAAAATTATTATTAATTGTTGTTATTAACATCAACAGCTGCGAACCGATCGTTTGGAACGCGAAATTATTAATCGAAAAAGTTTCCTATACGAAAGAACATCAGGTCGATTAAAAAGTCTTTTATTACATAAAGACTGAACGAGTATTGAACAAATGTCGTTCTTCAACAACTGAAGAGGAAGAAGTGGCACAGCGAACCTACGTATAAATGATTTTTCTCTTCGCCGTCCTCCAATTTTTCACGAAAAGTTCTTTAGTTTCCGAATCTGAGAGCGCGTGTCGCCTCGAGCGAGCACTGCGATACAAACGAAGCATTTATTTCAAATAGAAATACGCCTACGCGAATAAAATGTCTACTTCATGGAAAAAGAATATCTTACTTTCCTGGTCAACCCGAAAGACGCGACAGAACTGCGTTGGTCGCGCGACAGGTTCGAAAATATGTTTTGCCACTTACAGTGCACCGGTGGTAATGGTCGGTCGGTTAAACGACCGGCTAATTAGTTTTAAGGCTGACACGACACACCTCCGAGTGAAAATTTGTGCAATTCCCGTAATCTTCTACTTCAGATCTAGGTTGATTCGTCTGTCGCAACCCACACGAATATTCTCCATGATGTGTTGTACACTTGAATGGCGAATGCGCGTGTTACCGCTGATACTCGAAAGTTTCGTCCGATTGCGTCGACAGGAAGCGTACGCGGAGAAAAAAATTAGTACCAATTCAAGGCTCATATTCTCATATGTAAGCAAGAATACATGATCTTATATGAAAATAAAACCGGCTTATATGAAGAAATTCTATGTAGTTCCACTGACAATATCATTCTTGTCACTCGAGAATAATTTTCATAAATTAAGAGAAAAAAATATTGGATAGAAAAAACTGATATCTTCAAACTAATAATTGTGTCAGTTTGAAAATACTGTTCTGTTTAATATTTTTTTCTAGAAATTAGTAAAAATTATTTTTGAAAACAATTAGAATATATAAAGATATATTTTTAACGGAACACACTATATAAAATGTCTCTATGTAAACAAGTTTTATCTTCATATAAGATTATATATTCTTATGAGTCTTGAAATGATAGTCATTTTTTTCCGTATATGATCGTGAGAAAAACAAACGAATAATTGTAATTGTCGTAACAAGCACAAACAAGCTGTTTATCCACACGAAGTTCAAAATTGTACATTCGACAATGTGTGCCTGACACGCCGTCAACGATACCCCTTCTTTATCCGCTATCTAAAAATATCGCGAGAATGGCTATCGCTTAATTTCTCTCGTGTGGGAGCAATTATATCGTTAAGGATACGACGAATTCATGAAGCACGTATTTTAAGCCACTCCTGCGTCTGTTGCTTTTAAGATGACGCGAGTGCCGCTAAAGAGCTTGGTCGAATTTCAGAGCATGACGACAATATCCGCGAAATTACGCGTACGAAAAACGGACGTGACGGACGGAGAATGTAGTTTATTATCGTCGCCCCAATCAAGACAATTACCAAGTGCGACGCATCTACTTTCGCGGTAATGCGGTCATTAACCAGGGCTCTCACATGTTAACAATACATTAAACGTGAAAAACCAGACTTCCCGATGCGCTATTTTTGGCGAGAAAACTATTATTTTCGATAAAGGAAGAAGTATCTGGCTCTTCGGGTGACATTATTTTTTTTTAACGATAACTAAATCGCTAAGAGTCGAGGATACATATATAAATTAATTGTCGAAATAATGTAATCGAACCGTAAAATTAGAATATAAATAAAATTACAAAATAAAAATGAGGAATATAGAACACGCTCAATGCCGGAGTAAATCTCACGCGACGCGTTGATATTAATAAGTTTGAATGATTTTTTTGAGAATTTGAAAGGATCGCGTTGTAAAATAATAATAGCGATGCCACCGAGACAGATTGATCTAAACTTCGAGTTCTATATTGCCATGACATTTTATTAGCGAGTATCAATGGCAACAATCGAGACGGCCGTTGAAGGAGATAAGACTTTGTTCCTGCTGGCCTGGTTTTACTTTTGCGAACAATCCCGGGCAATTCTGCGACTATGTTCGCTATTTTCGCGTTACACAGGGTGTCCCACGTAGAACGAACTATTTCGAGGACTCAATGAAATGTAAATTTCATTATCTTTTTTACGCGTTTACTATTGAGCTGAATTTCGTGATAAGATTCATATTCGTTTAAATAGAGATGTTTTGGAAAAATTTCAGGTAGTTTCAATTTTTCTATATTAATTGATCATTGTTCTGCTGGGTAACAACTTGTTTTGTAAAGCGATAAATTATATTTATATTGTCATAAGCAATTATTCATACATAAATATTAGACTCAAAATATATAATTTAAAATATATAATAAATCAGAACTAAGTAAACAGAATTATATTATCTGTTCCATTAAACAATTTTATTACAGTAAACTGCTTCAATTCGAGCTCTACAGAGAGGCAATAGCTTTTTTCTGCATTAAAGAAAGGCCAGAACTTTTTATAAACAATTTTTTTCTCTAAAAGAGGTACATAAAAAGCAAAAAAATGTTGTGTGTGTCCTGAAGTCTAAGAATCTTTTTTACAGGTACAAAAAGAGAAGTCACCCGAGAAAAAGTCTTGCCATAGAGCCCAAATAAAAGCTTATCAATAATAAAATTGTTGATAGATGAACAGATAACGAAAAAATTCTGTCCACCGAGTTCTAATTTATTATATATTTCGAATATAATTGAATGAGATATATAATACTTTGTTACAGTGTTGTTGACCACCAGTATGTTTAAGGGACAAACAGGCAAAGACAGAAACCATGCGTTAAAGAAGAAGAAATGTGCTTCCAATGTGCTAAAGTATGATATTTTTATCAATATAGAAATTAATATTTATATTATCTGTGTATGTGTGTGTGTGTGTGTACATTACAGGTTAGATACGTGGGGATGAGTTTAATAACTTGTCGCTCATAGTTCTATCTTTGCGCATCGATTACGCACTTGAAATTGAAATCGGAATTGCAATTACAATTACGATTGCAATTATTAGACATTCTCGACTATCTTCAATTTATAAGATGCATAAGGGTAAAAAACGTACAAATTATGTGCAATGTCCTGCTGCAATATCACGGTCAATATGATGGCCGTGTACATTATACGTCTCTTGTTTTGCCACTGTGCCATCGGAAATCAAATAATGACGGACCGATGGTGGAGCTATCACTGGCCATCTTTTCATCATGTTTTTAACAGCGGTGTGACATATCCGACGCATAATTAGTTTACACGCGGAACTATGAGAGTACGGCAATATATCGACATTTTTTTTTTACGTACGAGGCGGATTATCGGATCTATTTTCGCGCTCCGGATCCATTCGCGTGCGTATCCGGAGATACAAGGCCCTCCCATCTAGTTACTTGTGTTTTTGCAGACACAGCCGCTCCACCACCGTTTAATTTCACTAAGTCAACTACCCACCTAAGTAAGGAAAAGACGAGACGCCTGATAAAGTCTCTCTCGCCGTCGAATACTGAAATATAAGAACGCGTGAATAGGCATTGCAATGTCAGGGGCGATACGGTTACGCGATACGATTGTGACGTGAGGCACAGGATTTTCAGAGAAGTTCGTCCGTTGTCCGGCTCGTCCTAAAGGGACAGCCGTGACGAGAGGGTGGGAGTTTCTATATTAAATCATAGCGAGACTTCAGCTGAAAGCCAGTCGTACAGCTCGGAGCGTTGGGACACATGTGGGGAGGATCTTCTCCGTGTACCTTGGCTGTCCCGCGAGACGAAGCCATAGAATATTGGTTGGTCCACGTATTATTCCCGGTCGCGTCGCGCGAACTTTAACTTCCTAATTAACTCGACGATCGCCCGTGCAGACGAGATCTGGGTAAAATTATTTGACACGGCTCTACAATTGAAAACAATTGACGCTTCCAATACGTAAGGATGGCGAGAATTTGGATTAATTCGCCGTTTTCATCCATAGAAGGTGGTGCTGTTCAGTGAGGAATGTCCGGAAATTAGTCCGACTGCGATTGCCGAGGGGGAAAAAGAAAAGCGAGAAACTGAGAAATCGGACGAAATTCAGAACGCGAGTCTCCAGAACGAAAATCCCATTAACATATATTCCTGGAGAAGGCCAATTTCAAGGATGAAACTAACTGGATTAAAGTCGCTGATGTGTCTTTTGACAATGTTATTGCTTATAGTGACCGCTTCCGGATATCCTGCTGGCAATAGTGATGCAGTATGTATCTTTCATTAGAGATGGAATCAATATCTCTATCAAGAACAATACAGTTACTTCTCGAATATAGTTTCTACTAGCGATTTGTCAGTTTCTGTTCACGGGGTTTACTTGCACTATTGAGTTCCTACGATTAGATGTTACAATACATGATTAAGCTTTCTTATCAAATTATGTTAAAACTTATTGCGTTACCAAAAACAAAATTCATATTTTTTTCCATTGCAAGAATATGGAATTTGAATTGTTTAATTGCACTGAGCTGTGTAAGTGAGATGTAATCTCTTAAACAGAAAGACTTTCGCTAGATTTGAAATTCCTGAAAATATCTTGAGATAAAAGTCTTAATATATACTCAGAAATCTGTCATTAACAAAATGTAGAGATTTATTTTGTATTATTGCTTAATATTTAATATTTTGTAAAAAAAAAAAGATAATCTTCAATATTTTTTTATCACAGTTTCGCCGCGATTTCGGTCGATCGATAAAGACAGATCGAACAGTAGACTTTTATTTGTTTCAGCACAAGTTGTGTTCGGGAAGCATGCTATCAACGCTATTGCTTCAAATTCTTGTTTTACATATAATGAGCGATAAAGATAAAATGATGCAATAGCATTGATAACGCGACTCGAACGCAACCCAACTATATCTTGAAAGTATCGAAATGTTGAAGCCTCTTTTACGCGATGCTAATTGGTTGTCGCGTTGCCGCGCACGGCTTAGTTTACGCATGTCGTTCGCGGCTGTGAAATCATTACGTGAATTCGGACGGTTCGTCAATTTGCGTGTTACGAATATACTAGAGAAATGACTGACCAATCGCATCGATGAATTAGCCGAACTAATCAATGAGACTGATCAAATTCGTTGAATTAATCGTCGATTAGATTTAAACCGTAATGGTAGAAAAGTTAGTGACACAAATCGACACAAGCATTATTTTGCCTTTGTTCCATGTTCAATGAATAACAAAGATAGGATGATGCTTGTGTCAACTTGTGTCACCAAACGGAAAGCAGCCATTATAATCAGCTTCAACTATTATCAGAAACTAGATGCTTTATAAAAAATAAAGTTATAGACCAGCTATCTTAATTATAGCATATATACTTTAATATATATCGTATATATGCATAAGATTAAGAGGCAATTATAGGAAACAAGTAAATAAGTATTAAAATATGTAGCTGAATTCTTCGATTAAAACGCGACTATAAATATGGACCTTTATAAAGCCTAGGGCCGATCTCACCAATTCTGGTTAACTTAATTGTTCAGCGAAAAAGAATAGATCTATAATTATTCGACCTGATATCACAATCTGTGTTATCATTATATCGGATTGTGGTCGTAACGTTGAGAATGGACTTTTGTCACATTCTTATCGATTGCTCGCGTATCAGTTATTCTTAAATATATCCTTCGGTAACCTTAAAAATTCTGTTTAAGTTATTCAACTTGCAGGCGATTGAAAACATGAGGCAGATCCCTCAGTGGCATTGTCTACGTTATAGAAAGTTCCATTATGTCCGTCGTTGCCGGCACTACCGTTTAGGAAGGAGACACTGACAAGTGGACGTTCGAGATGATCTACGAATGGCAGCAATGCTTTACAAGAAAATACATCGTCCTGTCTTTCATAATATGCCATATCAAGTCCTAAAACGTATTTAAGTTATGTTATTGTAGTGGACTACGCGATATTCAGAAATGTATTTACGTTAAAAGATAATAACGTTTTGTAGTAGAATGTGGTTGATTCAGAGATCCACATTAAGTGTGTCTGATAATTATGACAAAAATAACGTACATATTGTTATTTCACTTGTAAAATATTTGTTTCACTTGTATGTCACGTATATGTTTCGGAATTCTGTAAAATTTACCTTTTGCTTTTCTCTTCCTCCTTTCATTTTATAATTGTACAAATTATAATTTGTGACTGAAGCAATTTTGTGCTATGTCTTACCGAAAATATGCATAAATAGTTATGTTGAATCCATTATGCTGGATCTATTATTTCGTATTATCTGCCAAATATCTCCTTTTATATTTATTCTAGTTCAGAGAGAGAGAGAGAGAGAGAGAGAGAGAGAGAGAGANTCACATCTAAATTTGCAAATTATCCCCGTGCACCTATTTAATGCAAATTTGATCTCATGTATAATGGAATCTACGTTCTCTAATAACACAAACAACTTTTTGTTATATAATTAATATTATTAATATAATTATTTCTTGTGCAAAAATTGATATTACTGGTAAATAAATGTGAGAAGAACATACTGAGAGTCCTAGAAGTCGCAAATTTAAACTGAAATCACATCGCATGAAATTTCAATTCTGATTGCAATTTTGCTAAGACCGTATCGGACTTAAGTACCTAAATACTTATGATTTGGTAAAATTTATTCCGAATCCAGAAAATGAGCAACGAACACGAAGTGCGCGACTCGTAGGAATCTTCTGCATACTTTAAAACTCGAAGTTGTACATACATCTTTCACCATTCCTTTCGATGTACCGCGTTCATGAGCTGGCATAACAGCCCGATCTTGACTCGACACAGGTAGATTCAGATGGTCAGAGAAACCGTTCAATGGCGTGGTTCCTTTGTCCAGGAGAATCTCGAGAGAAATGCCCGTTCCAGATGGCTCCAACGTGAGCAACTCCTAAGCAGAAGACAATAGATACACGCATTATGTGCATATTTTTAATCAATTCAAACAATAACACGAATGTTACATGAATGACTGTCAACGGCCTATGTGTGAATAACTATTACGTCACACTATAAGCAGCGTATAATTTTAAACATGTTCTACTCGCATAATCTGAGACACACTTGATTTGAATCCAAAAAATACAGCTGCGACTTTGCTTGCCATCGGCCAAACGAAGGATTGCGTATTTCCTTCAGATGCGGCACAAAGGTAGCAGCCAATATGGAACTGGTACTTTCGATGAGGCACGTTTTCTTGTAGACGACCGTTGGGCTTTGTGGTGTAAATACATATACTGAGAACAAGCAAATTATCTTCATATTACGAAAACGCATCGGTACGGCAAGAAGTCCCATTATAATTTGGACAGTTTGAATAATTCGTCAACTGTTAGAACGACTTTTTCTTATAATTTTTATCTAGCTTTTTCTTATAATCCTTATCTAGCTTAGTGGAAAGTTTGAAGGTGTACGTAGCATGATGTTCATCATTTGCTGACGAGTTTATTTGTTCAAATTAAAATGAAATATCCTGTATACTTACATGCAAGATAAAATACAATGCAGTCTGAGTTGTGATTCTCAATGCAGCTCTTCACTCAACAACGAGAAACAGATCATATTAAAAAAAAAAAGCTTGCGGCTTGAGACTTACATGAATTGTCAGATGTAAATGCCGCCATATACGTAGATTTTGGGTCGTATGTGAGACTGACGACGCTCAAGGATACGCTCCATGATATAGCCAACGTTAAAATATTCCAAACTACTATATACTGTTGAGACGCAACTACCACAAGATGACAGGCTTCGTGATGACCGAATTCTACTCGTCTATTTCACATATTTTTCAATTATACGATCAGCGATTACTTTGTATATTTAACTAAGAATATGTTAAATTTCCAAAATATTTTTCTACACATCTCGACTCACGTTATCGGATGATTATATTGAATATGCGAAAGACCATTTCTCATCTTAAAATCTTCAGGTATCCATATGGTCAAAGTAGAATGAAAACCAATAGCCAGTAACGATCCATCCATAGAAAAGCTCGCATCCGTAGCAGCTAAATTGCGATAATCTCTCACTGCGTACAGTTTCCAACGTTGTGTCTTTTCTACAGCAAATATAATTACATGAAATATCGATGGTTCCATAAATTTCGACGAGACTTCTTTGATTAAAATAAGTAAATTACCTTGTGTATTCTGCACGTTCGAAGGTTTCACCAAATTCCATAATTTACATTTGTTATCCTTCCCAGTGGTAACGGCGAACCATTCCTCATCGCCGAATACCAAAGTATTTGGCTGAAACTGTAGTGCGTTCACACCATTTTCGTGCGGCAGTTCCAAGGATGAATTTAATGTAAATCTACATTAACAAGGAGAAAAATTATCTATTGTTATCGTGATATTATATTGAATAAATGTTCCAAGACCTCTCCTTTAAACTTATATTTTTTAATATTATATCGAGTATTGTCGTTCTCTGTTAATTGTGCTATTTTATACGAAAGAATATCACCCTTCTACAAGCAAAATTGGAAAGTTGCTTCAATGTCTATGATTGGCTCTTATTTATTTGTACAGTTTTATCGGTTGCGTAAATGACTACGTTCAGAAAAACAACTGTTGAGCAAGCGCTTACTATTATTGGAACATACTTTTACATCTATCATCTACCTAAAAGTGTATTTCAATTAAAAGCAATAACTACTGAATGTGTGAGCGCTTCGTTCGACTGAATGCAGTTAATGTAACACTATTATTATATCACCTATGCGCGATTTCTATGGTGCATACTTACGCTTGCGTGTTCATATCAAATCTCCAAAATTTCAATCTAACTTCTATAGATGAGACCTTATCGTTCCTCTCTTCGACCGTTGCCATCCATGTGCCATCATGGTTCAAAGCGACTTTTGTGACTTCCGTGTTTACAATAATCACATCACGCTCTTGGGTTAGGAAATTTTGCGCAGTGATGTTAAGCTATGAAATTTTGAATAGTTACATACATACACTGTTACTTTCCCGTTCTGTTTTTCTATATATCTGTATTTAATATCTTACATTGCACAGTAGACTTTTCGTGTGAATATTGTAAAATTGTACATGTCCAGTGCGACTATTCAGTACGAGGCTACTTGATCTTGGATCGAAGTTGAGTCCTGCAGGAAACAGATCTTTGGAGGAAAGCACAACACCCCATGCAAAGTTTTGTATCACCGATGTCAGCTTCCTCTGAGGAGTCACGATTATAATACCTGTTACCATTTAGCATAAAATTAGCCTATGAAAAATGTGTATTATTGTTAGGAGCTTGAGTGAAAAGTAACAGTGCTTCACCGTTATCTAACGTTGACACAGCTACGTATGAATTATCGGGCGCAATAGTGAGATGTTTAATCGGCGCCGGTAATCTCGGAAGAAATGTCTTCTGTGCGGGATTTGCTACAGTCCACTTTACCAACACACACTCACCACCGCCTGTATACATGTGGGTACCTGTGAAAATAAAATAAATAAAATAAATATGCACATTATGTTATATTGTATATGTTATGCTATATGCAAAGACACGTGAAATACTTTAGAAATTTTGAATATCCATTACCTGATTTACTAAATGCTATTTCTCTAACTGGCAATGTGTGCCAATGGAAGACAGCTGTGTATGGTCTGGTTTTGAATAATTCCTTCCATATCACTACGCGACCTGTATTATCTCCTGTAGCGACCACGTCCTCTTCCGGATGTCCTGCTATGCAAGTAGGCAACCTACCTGTATCACTAGTCTTGTGTCTGTATTTATATTAGAGATTTAAAAAAATTATTCTGTGAGAATTTTTAATATACATACATAATCATAGCCTCTAAATATCTTACAATTTGTCCACTAAGTTTCTGGCTGGATTCAATATGTGTAAATCTTTGTCATGTAAGACTGCTACCAAATTCTCATCGTAATTTCCAATCACATCAACGTAATATTCTTGTGACTTTGCGCTGAAAAAAATTATTAGAATTTGAAACAGCAATTTATATTCAACAGAAGAAGAAACTTATTAAACTGTCCCTTACACAACATATACTGATTTCGCACATGTTCCATTCTCTATGTCAAATAAAAGTACATAGATCTTCTTTCCACATTCAGACAAGTGAGTTATTAATGCTTGACATATCTTGTTTCCTTGAAATGTCTTATATTTAACAATGTGGAAAGTCTTGATCTTTGCCTTCTCACTCGCTAATTTCAATGGCTGCATAAAAATCTTAATATTTATCAATGTTTTTCACCAAATCATTTATTGTTTATAACTGTTCGAATTGAATTGAAAATGGGATATTTTTACATATCTATTCTGTGTGTCTCAAATATATATAAAAATATATATAATACAGAATATGCTTATATATACTCATGACCAGGGTTAGGAAAATTACTTAAAAAAAAAAATTTTTTTTTCATTTTGAAAAATGACTCATCATCGTCAATACTTGTGATAAAAATAACAATTGAATACTTGAAAAAACAATTTGTGATGATAATACTGTTACAAATAATGTTACTTCTCAACATTGTTCGTGATACTTATTTAAACTCAATCTTACTAGCTTCTTAGTAATAACGTTGCTTTGGCAACTCCAGAAATCTAGCTGACCCTTTTCGGTACATCCTATAATCACGTGAACATTATCTGGATGTACCAGTATACCGGCTATTCTATAATCTGACGGCTCAAATTCTCGCACAAAGTCTCCTGTTTGCGTGCTGCACACTTTAATAATATTCTTCCACACCACATACAAAGTTCTGAAAAAAAGTCCTTGTACTATAAATAACCGTGTTGTATATGAATAACCATATGTATAAATAAAATCATTTAAAACTCCAGCAAACTAGTAAAAAAAGAATCATAAACTCACTCGCCATCGTTGGAAAACAACGGACGTTGATCAATGATACTTCCTCCGCCTTTTTTCTTCACAGTCAAGTCAACAAAGTTAACGCTCGAATTTGCCGATGGATTCATCTGATTTTTGCCTAACGTTAATTGCATCTTAAATTAAAAATTAATTGAAAATAATTGTACTTAAAAATTATATATATGTATACACGATGAAAACATCGAATTTGTACAGAAATGATCACAATGAGATATCTGTTATATTAAATTCATACGGTGAACGAAACACATGGCTTATTCGAAAGACAAACGAGAAGGATCACGAGAGGCGCGAGTTGATTTAAATAATCTTCGTGTGCAAAGCGCTTCTGTGTCCGTAGAAATAGAATGTGAACTACGTAGCCGAATATAGCACGGACACGAACCGAATGACTTCACCGATAAGATAGAAAGTGGATATATCGGACGTCTTACTCTCCCATTTCTTCAGAGGTCGCGTTGAAAAAAGCGTCCCACCAAAAATCTTTACGATCGCTCTTAGACTCCTCTTTTCTCGTAGCAAACGTTTCCTAATCGCTGCGACTGTACTTGAAACAGAGTGAATGATAAAAAAAGATACTTTTCGATGAAATATAATTGAGGTTGAATCACTTCTAACATGAAAGCAGTAATACAACGAGTATCGAAAGCTTCGGTCTTAGGTAAAATATTTAAGTTACGGATGTTTTACGTCAAGTGAAAAGATGTAGAGTACATCAGTGTTGTCCACAATTAAATTTTTCAATCTATGTTGATGTACTCTGCATCGATAAGAAATTTTGAATATACGTTTATATTTGGAGTACAATATAAATATGCATGTAACCAGCATGATACAAAATAATATCGGTTAGCTTGAATTATGACAGTAATGTTATATACTTCTACAACGGTGAGGCAAAGTGCAATTTTTGCTTCAGTTGACGGAGAAGTTATTAGTAGCATTGGCAATGGGCTGTGCGTGTTAATTGGTATAAAAAGAGACGATGGAACTGCGGACGTGGAATATATGTAATGAAATAATATTATCAGTATATGCATAAATAACATATGTTTGCATAAGTACGGATAGATGAGCATTAATCTGTATGTCACAGAGTAAGAAAGATATTGAACACCAAAATTTTTGATGACGACAAGGGTAAAAGGTGGGGTGCCAGTGTAATGGACAAGAAATATGAAATATTATGCATTAGTCAGTTCACACTGTATCATGTTTTAAAGGGAAACAAATTAGACTTTCATAGAGCAATGCCCGCACAAGAATCAGAACGATTTTATATGAATTTTCTTGCTGAGCTCTGTAAAAGATATAGTCCAGAATTGGTAAAAGGTAAAGTAACTGCCAATTTAATGCGTATGTGTGATTTATATTTTGTATTTTTCATTCGAGGTAATAATTTAATAATATATTTCTGATAAACTTGTGTAGATGGTAAGTTTGGTGCAATGATGGAAGTTTGCATACAAAATAATGGGCCGGTGACATTGGAAATAGAATCCCCCACAAAGTCTATTTCTAACAATGATACTATGAATATTAAGAAGAAAGAAGTATCTGATTAAGCAAAGTGTTTATGTATTATGAAAAATCAATAGCTCGATAAACAATAAACAATAATGTTATATATAGTACACAATGTGTATATACTTATTCATCCTGATATGACTTGAAATCAGTTTACTTTATCTTCTTACACTTATATTTGTGAATTATGCTCTCTAAATATTGTTATTTTTATTCGCCACATTTTGAATAACAGAAATGGCTGATGATATCTTAAAGAATATTTCATAAACAATATTTATGTATTTTTGTGTTACAGATTCTGCCTACTGAATTGTAACAATTGTCTATAATATCTAATGCTATGGCAACTACCGAAGAGAAGATTATGCAAAAGCAGAATAACAGACCAGAAGAACAAGATCAGAAAGGTACATATTATGTATGTTCTAAAAAAAATTATTAAATCAATGTTACTCCATGAAAGAATTTATTTCAGATAAGAAGATTACGGATCCTTGTACAGAAAATGCAGAAGACACCAAAGATAAATCAACAGTAGATAAAGTATCTAGTAAAGATGACGTACTCGCTAATCAACGACAGGTACGATAATAGAGGAGAATAACGAATAATCATCCAATTTTAGATGGCCGTTATAAACGTAGACCTGTTATTAACATTTTTATGTTTTCTGCATTCGTAGTCTTGCAAGAGTCAGACGGATCCTGCGGACACAGAAACGGTAGAACAACTGAAGAATCAGCTGGGTATGCTGATGAACTCGTTGGCCACTCTGTCGGCGGAGAAGTCGAAAATGGAAGCGAACTTCCAGGTCGACAAGAAGCAACTAAGAAGCGAACGGGATGAAGTAAGATAAGAGGAGATTGACCGTTTCGCGCTGTCAGGGAAGTTTCCTGGTTAATTATTAACACTGTTTGCAGTGTGAGAAGGTGATCAAAGACCTGAAAGAAAGATTGAAGAAGGCCCAGGGTGTCAATCATTCCGAAATCGAGCACGTGAAGTGCAAATTGATCATGGAGCGTCATGAGAGAGAGAGAGAACAGGCCGACAATCTTAAGATGATCAAGTACGTTATCTACTCTCGTTTACCGAGGTTACACCGTCGGCGAAGATTTTTTTATACTTTAACATTCTTGCAGGGAGCTGCAGAAACTGGTGTGCGACGAGCGGCGCAACAAGGAACAGTTGGAGGCGCAGCTGAAGACGCATCTCGCGAACAAGACGCAGTGCAAGATTCTTGAGGCCGAGCTCGAGATCACCAAGACCAAGCTCAAGCAGGCGGAAGAAGCGGCGAAGGAGACGCCGCCGCTTCTTCTCTCGCTGCAGGCCGAGATGACCGTGATGAGGAAGCAACACTTGAATGCGATTCGCGAAGTACAGATACGATAACGTCAGACATTGCTTAACGCGTTAATCATTCGTTACGTACAAACAAAGTGAACGCCGTGTGTGTGTTCTAACGTAGGAAAAAAAAAGAGCCGCTGCTGCTGAGCAAGAGGCGAGAGGGCTGGCGATGATACACGAGGCGAGAGTGGCTGGCTTGGAAGCTCGATTGGCTGAACTGTCCGACATTGTCGGAGGCTACGACCGGCTGAGGCAACAGGATCAATTGGCTATTCAGAAATTGAAGGACCGGCTGGCCGCTTTACAGGACACCGAGCACGGCGAAACTGCAGCGCCGAGTAACCGGCCGGAAGAGATCATCTCGAAGATAAAATCTCTGTACACCCATCTGTTGGATCTTGACAATAAAAAGAAAGACTCGGCTTACGTAAAAGGTAAATGAAAGTTAACGTAACAGTGATGAGGTGTAAAATGTGAACAGAGGGTGGATCAATTCGCGCGATTCTGTGTATATTTTTCTCAGCGTTGTTGAATAATCTGGACTTGCGGGATGAACATTCCAACTACAAAGAGAAGTACGACGTGCTCCTGCAGGAATTCGAGGACTACAAGCATCAGGTGATATGCAAGTACAACGTGCCGTCCAACGCGCTGCGCGGTATCCAGCAACAGAATCAAGGGCTATCTTTGACGCACGATAAGGATCACGATAAGACTCAGCTACACCTCCTCAAGGTCCATAACAGTAATTTAGAGGAGAGGATACGTATGATCAATAAAGAAATGTCGAATAAAGAGAGGGACTGGCAAATGCAGCTGGATCATCAACAGAAGGTAACTGATCAGATCTCCGCAATAACGGTTAATTCCCAGGACGGAAATATTTTTATTTTCTAAATGATGCAATTTGCTAATCCACGTTTTCACATGAGAGATTTTCACACGTTTGATCTCTCGTCAATCAAAGTAACTGCGGAAAATTACGTATTTCTAGTTATTTCAAGAGGAGCACTCCAAGCTGGAGCACACGTTGCATCAAAAGGACAACGAATTTCGCAACAAGATATCTTTGCTGGAACAACAATTGCTACGACAACGAGAGAGGTCCATGGCTCTCGTGGAAGAAAAGGATAAGGAGATACTGACACTGAAAACGTCATTCCGTACATTATTGCCTAATAAGGAGACTGCTGCTGCGGCGGCAGAGCATAAAGCACCTTTGATCAGATATGAAAGCACCGTCGAGCCGGTGACTGATTTAGTAACGGGATTGCTAACAAACGACAGCCCTCCGATATTGCATTATACCCAAGAATTGGCCAGGAAAGAAGTGCAAGTATCGTCATTGAGGAAAAAGACTCTGGAATTGGAAGGGGTGTTGAGAGAGCAGCAGAGAGAAATGCTTCATATGAAGGAGAAGCAACAGGAGGAAAATAAAACATTGAGAGCGCATATCACGAGGTAATCGTCGAATACCAATGAATTGTACAAAGGTTTTTTTCTTTTTGAATGTAGAAAGACTTATCCCTCCGAGAGCCAGCGATCCTTTAAAAGATGATCCTTTAGTACATGTATCAGTGTATGATATTAATAAAAAGTCTTGTGCATAAATGCGTTAAAAAAAATTTGTTGCAGGCTGGAAGCGTGTAAATCGAGAGAGGGTGCCAATTTGGAGTACTTGAAGAATGTATTTATAAATTACTTAACGACGAACGATGCGTCCAGCAAGCGACACATGTTAAACGCCATTTCAACAGTATTGCGTTTCACGCCCGACGAGTTGAGTAAAGTCAAACATTAACGTGCAATAATTCTAGTTTTATCGTTGATATATTTCTCTTAAGGGAATGAATAAACCCACATGTGGGCACAGACAGGACACAATACTGAAATTAAATTCTTTCTTGCGCTTTTGTTTCCTCTATGAGTTGGTTTTTGCGTTCTTGCACTCTCCTCAGGTTAGCCAATACGGAAATTTCGAACTCCGCATCCGACATCCTTCCCTGCTGCGTCTATATAATGCGGAAATGTTACACAAGATCGTTACGATATGTTAGTATCATATGTACCGTGTAAATTAACGTGCCGACTCACTAGTGATAAATAGTGAGACGCAAAGTTATACGTACAAATGTATCGGGTGCGGAAGAGCAATTAAGAGACGCACACGGTTCGCTATCGGTATGTCTGTTAGCAGGAAATATGGGTCTTCCGGAATTGAATTTCTTATCGCTTGCGACACCTTTTGAATGTTTCCGAGTATCCCACAAGCCACGAAGCGTTAGCGGGTTCTCTGCTAAACCGATCTCACTCAGAAGAGCGGTTTCCTAAAAAAAAATATTAGAACGAAAATTTTACTTTACATTCAAGTATTATGGCTCAATTTCTAACAATGATCCACGCGCTTACCGCTGCATCTTTATTTCCAAACTCGACTATGGCTCTTCCTTTCTTCAAAGACACGACAAGAACTTCTATATCTCCATACTGCATAAAAACAGTTTTAATTAGAAATTAGGACAGATAATTCGTTACACATCATTATTTCCAAGTAATACAAATTAATGACTTGTCAGATCTCAATAAAAAAAAATTAACACACTACAATATATATAAGCTTTAAAAAATCAATGACCTTACTTTAGAAAACATTTTATGCAGATTATTATAGTTGTATCCACCATTTGATGAATCTTCTTCTCGTGACTTCCATCTAATCTTGATCTTGAAATCCCCTACCTTGGACGATTTTGAATTGTTTGGCATACAATGATGCAGTTTCCTGATTTCCTCCAATACAGACATCACTTCTTCTTGTACTTGCTTCGATCCTTCCCTCTCTAATCTTTCTATTTCGGCCTGAATAATTATATATTTTAGAATATAGATTTTTTCACAGAGAGATAAACATAAGAAGTTATAGTAAAATTGAACAATTTGAATATATATATACTTTTAAGCGATCCTCATCAGATTTAGTATTGTATGTAGGATCTAATGTCCTTTTATAAGCCTCCTCGCGTGCTTCTAGGTCTTCTTTAAATTTTCTCCTCTTGACATCGTATTTTCTGACACGTTCCTTCTGTTGTTTTTTAGCTGCGATAACTTGGTCATAGGCTGCCTTATCATACGACAATATATTTTAATAAATTAAACTATAAGACTTCTTCTGAAAGTTACAGAAGAAAATACATTCAATGATTATGATGATGATGATACTAGTGGGAACCAGAGAAAAGTCAGTATACTTACTCGTGTTTTTTCATCCGTTAATATCTCCAATACTTTTGTTAGTTCATTGAATAATTCTGCTGCTTTTGGATTGTTAGGATTTTTATCAGGATGGCATGATAAGGCTTTCTTGCGGTATGCCTTTTTGATCTGAAATTGCAAATGACTACAGATGCATTTTTCTTTGCTAGAAAACTTCAAACAAATAAAGATGTAATTATTTGCAAATAAATACAGATATTTACCTCTGTCACAGAGGCCGTGGACTCTGCGCCGATCAGATTGTACAAATCCTTTTGCATAATCGCGTCCATTGTTGATTTATTACTTGTGTATGATTATTTTCTAAATTATGTTTAACAAGATACAAATTCACTTATAGGTTAGATACTTTTCGATCTTCACTGCCAGTGCTGAAAATTTATAGCATACGTAACACGAAGTATAGATTTTCAATGGCAATGAATATCGGAACACGCCATTGGCTGCGTTCAGGAAACACGAGTGAACGGTCAGAGGATTATTGGTCTTTACTGTTAAATCTCTAAATTTAGGCCAATTATATCGAGGAATTATTCAACTGTTGTACAACTGTCGTGTTTTCTGAACGCAACCGTTATCCCGCACTGAAGAAAAGAATGGCTGCGTTCAATAGAGAAAGCAGCTGTTGCAACTGTTGTAAAATTCGTGAATCTGATTGGAGTATGCTCTTAATCTTGGTTGAATCTAAAAACATATGCCAATCAGTTAGTTACGAATGATTCGAGCCCCAGTTCGAAGTAGAGACGCCGCGGCTGCGTTCTCTTTCGGCGTTTACAGCGCATAAGTGTCGCTCTACAATAAGTATTTTAAGCCTTAAGAAATTGACCAATCACAGTCAAATATGAAGAGAATAATTAATTGTGATTGGTAAATTTTTTAAGGCTTAAGGTTATACCTATTGTAGATCGACTCTGAGCCTCCAAAGAGAGGCAGCCGTTGCAGGGTGCGTTTCCACTTAACACTCGCAACGATCGTTAAGCCCGTATCACACTACACATCAAAACCCGTCAGTTCCCAATGCACCCTCCAGGTGGCACAATATTTTTAACTTAACCATCGAAATAACACTGCTAACCTATTGTAACCGAGTGTCACCAAACAAGTAGATAAAGTCGATATTAAACCATCCGAACTGCACAGAACATCTAGAGATTGACTTCTCCGCGGATCCCGCTGCCCATAAACACAGTCGCCAGGACGTTTTTAGAGATTCGTCCAACTCTCGGCCTGAAAAGCTGGACCGGCCAAGTCTCTTCAGATCTGCCGTCGATAATAGTTCGCGCGCGAAGGGATTCTATTTCCGACAGCACTGTCGCTTCCGAAGCCAAGATTCGTATCGCTGGACGTCCGTTATTACCGATAGATGATAGGATGGGAAGGCACGTAAATATGAAATCGCATTGGAATATCAAATACCTATATGAAGAACATTTTCTGGTATAATTCCTCTTGCACGAGGCAAAATAACTGCGCACTTTGAAAAATTAATCTTACAGAAACAGCGATAATAAATGATAATAACGAATGTTTCCACTTTCCCAATGATAATAATTTCCTTTATCTATACTCGTTGCACATCATTTACATACATATACATTCCATAATTAAAGTTCATAACTTATATGTAAATGTATGTACATTGTTGCATAGCATTTACATATATATACATTTCATAATTAAAGTTCATAACTTATATGTAAATGTATGTACATTGTTGCATAACATTTACATATATTGTATTATATGATATAATAGTAGACCTGTTTGAGTACATTGTGCATTCATGTAAAATGAATAATGTAAAATAGAAATTTAAATATAGACCTGGGGAACAGGTTGCGTCATAAATTATTTCAATGCGATCAAAGAGACTGACTTATGCATCGGGATTCGCGAAGACTATTCTAATCAGATGTCTTGGGAGCGGCCTGAAATATTACGAAAGATCTCTGCATGCAAAATCCACCGGTGGCAAAGTAAAGTTTATTAATCTCAATTAAATCGACTTTTGGAGAACTGAGGCGTTAATTTGCTTAAAATCGCCTTAAAAGGGCCAATGATCGCCAAAAATGATAAATAACGATCGGTATTTAATAGTAAGCAGTACCAATAATAAAAAATTGATCGTTAGATTATCTATTAAAATATGTATGTATTTAGAAGTCTGAAGGTTCTCTGCGTCTGATTGGCCCTTGGTAAAATCTGACTAGATACGGTATCAGATATCACGGGATTTATCTAACTACGCCGCTACGAGGACTCGAGAACGTCTCACCGGTTATTCTTCGTACATTGTGCGCTCCGAAATACAAGTGTCCGCATCGCGAACGTTACATCCGCGTCAAACGTTGTAATTGTCCGCGATTCAATTAATGTGTACCGCGTTCATCATCTGTCTACATTTAAATGTACGTACCTCTGTGTCTCGAATAACATCTCGTGTACAAATCTGTTAACGTCCGCGTCGTTAAGATACACATGTTATACTATATGTTCGCGTGTTTTGTATCGCGCGCGTCCCAGGTATAACGGCGTACCCTGCGCGTCCGCACGGTAACTGGTCGTATTTTAATCATCGGACATTCCGAAGCGACTAAATTCATATATGGGAGGAAACGGCATTAAACGAAACCGTATGAACGTCACACAAACTTAACGGGTTACTTGCACTTAGAGGCAACAAAAACAGCCCTACATCCTTGTCCGAAATCTTTTGTCCGAAAATGTTAAAATTATCGAGTCGGGATCTACATCAGTATGTTATGTGAAGTTTTAATAATATAATGCCAAGTCCGTATTAAGAAATATTAAAAACTGCAGCAGATATCGCCATTGGCATCAGCTATGTTTACTGCTGCCATGCTTTACGGTACCCATTGTATCTATGTGGTTCATCTGCAATAAAATCGCAATAAATTCTCAAAATATATAGATAAGTCCAGTCTTTAACGTAGCCGATTTTTAAAATTCGCACTTGTTGCAAAATGACCCTCATCTGAATATAAGAGTTTTTCGATTTTTCACCTAAGGATCGATCGCTTCTTAACTATAAAAACAAAACTAAGATCCAAAGGAAAACCCTCTATGATAAAAACTGCGTTTTTTCATGCTGAATAAATAAAAAACAAATACGAATACGATCCATCTAGTCGTTTTCGAGATATTTTGGTTACCGATTTGGAAAACACGGTTTCGGAAAAAAACATAATTAAAATTTTAAATATACTTTTAAGCAATATATAAATAACCCGTAGAATGAACAGTTGATCGAAGAGAAAGGAATATATATATATATATATAAATATTATTATTATTATTACAAAACTGCAACATCATATCATGCCACACACATATATCATCGTAATGACAAAAGCAGAAAATCTCTTTCAAAATACGAAACGTACAAACAAATACGAAATCGCATTGAAATATCAAATATCTAGATGAAGAACATTTTTTGCTATAATTTTCTTCGCACGAAGCAAGGTAAGCGCGTATTTTGCAAATTTAATTTTAATAGCGAGGATAAATTTCGCCGTAATAACCGTTTGCGCTTTTCCAATGATAATATTTTCGTTTATCTATGCCCGTCGCATACCATTCATATGTATGTAAATCTCATAATTTAAATCCATATTTTACATATATGTAAATATTGTTACACATTTGTGCGCGCGCGTGTGTGTGCCTCTTCGAGCACATTACGCATTTACATAATCAAGTATCGTATCTGAAAGAAATGATATAATTTTCTATCGTTTTCCGTTAAGAGAATAATCATTGAAATATGATAGAATTCTTATAGGAATTAATCATATCCTATCGTTTTATTATCTTTTTATAATCTTTTTATAATCTTTTTATTATCGTTTTATAATCTATCATGAACAAGTAACTGAAAATCTGTAGTAAGGAATGGTATATTAACAATAGGAGAAACTGAAAAGTTCTCTTTCTTATAATTGCAAAAGGAAACCCATCGTTGTCAATCGTTTACCAACAATACTTGACATAAAACTGATTCGTACGTTCAATTACGATGAAAAGGGTCTCGTAATTAATCGTGAAGTCATTACGTAAAAAATGGATGATTTTCTATTCTATTATTACGTAAAGATCGTAATATATTATGGCCTAAATATCTCGCCATTATAAATATTTAATGAGATAATTACGAAACGAGAACGTAAAGAATCAAGTATGAATTTACGATTATAATTTAAGCTTAATGATAACTCGGAGAGCTGAGTTCTGCTTGCAAGCAGGAGGAGGCGACTTCGAACAGTTATTATCTTAAATAATTAAGATTAGGCTTACCTTGGGATTATGGAAATCACTAAATAAACGCGTCAAAGTATTTACCTCAAGGTTGTGTAGGAATGATAGCATAATTAGCTAAATTTAAATTAAAATAACTCATTCGTCGTATGTTACTTTGTATCTTGAATCACTTATCTTATATACTACATGTCTACTACGCATTAGCTACACATATATTTCGTGTTGCCTAAGTTGTAAAATGATAACTCTCATTGCGAGTTAGATTAACGTAATTTTTTATCGTTGTGTCGTGATGTATGAATCTTACAATGACAAAGAAGTACCGTACGAAAATGCACGATTTCTTCTAAATCGTTTCCTTTCGTAAGTATATTATTTGCAGAAACAAATTCTCCTATCGTTTATTATCGTTACCTTTTACTTAATTATTAATTATGGAAAATATTTGTGCTTGGAAGCTTCTTCGATTAACAGCTCAACAATTTATATATGGTCATTAATTACTAACTAAAAATTTTGTGTGGTTATTTGCAAAATATCTGAGGACTTTTTTGTTCAAAATGATTTAATCTATATAGAGTGAATACAAGTATGTGTTTCAACTTTTTACAATGCGATGTTAGTTAATGACAGATTGTCGGAACAGCCGTGTGTATTCCGACTCGTTCGGAACTGGATAATCGCACTTACCGTGTGCACACACACACACACACACACACACACACACGCAACGCAAAATGTTGTAGGATTGTTATCGGTTGTGATATTTATTGACACACGGAGCAATAATCAATCTGCTAAGGTCAACATGAAGCTGTTGCCGATTCTTCTCACGACCTTGGTGACCTGTGATCAAATCGCCGATGGATACCGTATCCTCGGCGTATTTCCGTATCATTATACGAGTCATTGGATCATGCCGGAAACTCTGATGAAGGGTTTGGCGCAACGTAGCCACCAAGTGGACGTGATATCGCACTTTCCGCAGAAGAAACCGATATCGAATTACACGGACATCAGTCTGTCCGGCAGTATGCCGATTCTTCAGAATAATTTCACCGCGACAGAAATCGCATGGTTCAGAGAAGTTTTGATGAAGCAAGTTATCGATAAGATGGGGACTGAGATTTGTGAGCTGCTGGCCCATCCGAAGATGCAAAATCTGATCAAGAATCCGCCGCAGGATCCTCCCTACGATCTTGTTATTATAGAAGTATGATCAACGCATTTTACTTCTCATATGTATACGAAACAATTTTTTTATATATTAGAACAGTATCAGACCACTACCGGCTGTCAAAGCCAAACCGATTGCCGACTCTTAGTAGACAAATCGCAACGTCGACGCTTTATTGTGATTGATTCACTAAGAGTTCGCAGATCGGTCTTTACAATTAACAGTCTAATAGTTATATTAAAATCCTTCGTTATACCGCATACAATAGATTTTTATATAACTTTGCCATATATCAAGCAAAGACTCATTATTCAATTAGAACAATTAGAACAAATTAATCACAAAAACGTCAAGATAACTTCAGAATGATGTATCTACGTCACAATATCATCAACGTCAAGAATTGACTTGCCATCTCACCTTTTATGTAACTTTCGTTTTATTTGGGAACATCCAAATCTAATGTTATCATGTATACAAAGCCACAACAAGTCATAGAAGTCATACTACCGACATTAAAATCGATTCCAAATGCAATTCAAATCAGAACGGGCACTTCATGTCCTGCGCTGGACATCCATGCGCTTAAACGGAACGTATCTTAAAAGACGCGACTCTGTCGACGACGACTCGGCGAATAATTAATTAATCGAATGACCGACATACACAGGTATTGATGTCGCCGTGTTTTCTGGCTTTCGGCCGTCATCTGAAAGTCCCGGTTGTCGCCCTGGTAAACGTTAACTTCCCCAGTTGGTTCAACGAGTTATCCGGCAATCCATTTAATCCCGCTTATGTACCGGTCACCTTCTCATCGTTCGGACAGCAAATGAACTTCAAGGAACGTGTGCTAAACTTCTTCGAAGCGTATCTGAGCTCCGCGCAGGTCCTCTACTACACGAGCTTTCAAGTGGAGTATGTGAAGAAGTATTTCGGCATGAAAGACACCGCCATCAGTGACCTGCACAACGATATATCTTTGTATCTAGTCGACTCGCACCCCTCGTTGCACGGAATCAAACCGTTGACCCCCGCCGTGGTCGAGGTAGCCGGTCTACATATCAAGAATGACAGTGTTACACTCTCGCCGGTACGTTTGAACAAAGTGACTTTCTCGATTATCCGCAGCATGTGTATACCGCCACTCTTCCGGAATGCAATAAACGACCGACAAAGTCGAGGACGATTTATCATCAGTATCGTTGTGAACGCGCTCCCATTTACCTTCTCCTCGTTCAAATAATAGGGCACGCACTGCATGAAAAACGATCGCTTCTTTGCGTGGAATATAAAATTCGCCTCTTTAAAATTAACAGAACGTGAAAATAATAAAAACAGAGGAATGTATAAAAAGAACTACGTGTGTTTTATTGTCGAAGGCAAACATTATAAAAGATGGAAAAAGCGCACTTTCATATCCGGCAGAATATTTCTCTTTGATCCTGTGCATCGATAACAAATGAATTGCTTGCATCTATTTAGAAATCTGCATGGAGATTTTATCGAAAATTGCTAGATATATCTCGAATTTCACTGACGTTGATAATCCGTGTATAGGAAGGATATATAAATGTACTTAAAGTCATTAATATGGATACTATAAAGATACCGTAAATTTTTATCAAAGTTTAATGAGATTATTTTTCAAATTCGCCGGCACATCAGATTTATCTCATTATGAAAGTGACACCCTGAAGAACCGATTTTATATATTTCTCCTGAACGGAAAAGATTAGAGAGAGGCTAAATGAAATTCTCTTTTCAGAGATTTTCTTATTTTGAAGTGTCGTAAACGTGCAAATTTCGCGACAGCCCATTGTATCCTGGCAGAATTAATCATTGCGAATTATTCGAGTTATTTCTAAAATGAGACTTGTCTACAGGAAGTGCAAAAATGGCTGGATGAAAGCAAGGACGGCTGCGTGTACTTCACATTCGGTTCTATGATCAGGATCGAAACTTTCTCTAAGGAAATAATAGAAATATTCTACAAGTCCTTCAAGAAGATCGCGCCGGTTCGGGTACTAATGAAAGTTGCGAAAAAAGAAGACCTACTGCCGGGATTACCGGATAACGTCATGACGCAATCTTGGTTCTCACAAATCGCCGTGCTCAGTACGTAATTACTGTCCGCCACGCGGCTGCATCAGAATAATCGATACGCTTGTGTTCCAGTAAGCAATCTGTTAGCAATCTGATGACAGATTAGCGACAGATCGAGTATGATCTGTCAAGAGATTCATAGTCATTCGCGTCAGCAATCTGTTATTATTCCGTCGACAACACTACTGACTGAATCTGACAGTAGATTGGCGGTAAAAAGCGTGCAAGATGTGTAATATGTCCCAAAAGCAAAATCGCAGGCCTTAAAAATTAATTAAACGACTGTCACACGTCGATAAATTTTATTCTCAAAGTTAATCTGAACGTTCGGAAATTCGTAATGTCTTATTCATACGAAAGAGAGTCCCAATAACTTTGGATTGGTGTAAATTATTCTCTGTTTTTCGTTTCTTTTCGTTCTAAAAATGTCGTTCTATATTCGTCGATCTTTCGATCGTGACATTTCTTTTTCACCGTCAAAACAACGCATTACTTTGAATTTTCGCAGAGCACAAAAACATACGAGCTTTCATTACACACGGTGGACTAAAAGGGACGCAGGAGGCGATTTATTTCGGAGTCCCTATGATTGGCATCCCCCTGTTTCTCGATCAGAATAGCAACATCCTGTCATTCGAGAGGAAGGAGGTGGCTATCTCGCTAAACTCGATACACGACGTCACCGAGGAGAAATTAACATCGGCGCTAAATAGCATCCTGAAGGATCCCATCTATCGGTGAGACGTAGGAAAGTCTTTAGACATTCTCAGGTCATCTTTATAACGTCTGTATTGTATAGGTTGCAATGATATCCATCAGGGATGTTCCAATCAGTGCAATTCTTGTATGTCCAAAATCCGAAGCGATATTACATTTTCTCTTTCTCAAATTCTCCACAAGAAAAACATAATTCTTAACTTCCGTCGCTTCAGCACATACATTACCTAAATTAAGATTTTCATAAAAAGATTAACCAAGCTGTAATGATATAGCAATTCGATCTCCTGCGAACTGGTCTCTCTCTCTCACTTGTTTCAGAAAAAACGTGCAAAAATTGTCGAAATTATTCGTCGATCGTCCTATGAGCGCCTTGGATACGGCTATATTCTGGGTGGAATACGTTGGAAAAAATGGGAACTTCCTTCAATCACCAGCCATGCAGCTTCACTGGTGGCAACGTAACTTATTGGACATTTACGCCTTCTTATTATTCGTGGTCATTGCGGTGCTTTTGGTCTTGAGATTTATTTTTTGGAAGATCAAGACGTTCTTATTCAGATTACACATGGACGTAAAAAAGGAAATGGTGGAGAAAAAGAACATATAAGGAGGACCGAAAACTACTTCAGGAATTTTATTTATGAATAAGTTTTGATAGGTTGAGTTGATAGAACATTTATGTTATCGAGTCCCAGATATCTTGAAAAAATCTTAGATTTTTCATTAATATTTTGTTAATAGCTTTCTGACTAGCTTAAACTTTCAGGTTATAAAATCCTGACTTACAGTATTTTTCAACAATGTAAATTATATCAATATTTTAGATAGAACGTGCCAGACTGTTTTAGATACCAATAATAAAAAGTTTTTTTTCATTATCCTATGTACCTGATTTTACTGAAAGACTTAATCTTTTATTTAAACCCACAAGCAGATAAGAACGAATCGTTAAGAAGGGAAAACATCTCTTTCCCTCCCTCCCTCCCTGCCTCCCTTCCTACCCCTTTTCTCTCTCTTTGAAAAAAATAAGAAAATAACTATTTGAAATTTATTTGAAAATGCAAGACGTAAAAAACGAATATTATATCGCACCGAAATAATGAAATATTTGTATAGAAAATATATTTTTCTCAAGTTCTACTCGCACAAGGCAAGGTTACCGTGCATTTTGCGAAGTTAATGTTATAGTAATGACAACGGTAAATTTCGCTGTAGGATTCAAATATTTGTGCTTTTTCAATGATAATTTCGTTTATCTATGCTCTTCGCGTATCATTTACATGTATGTAAATTTCATAATTTAAGTCCATATTTTACATGTATGTAAATGTTGTACTCGTTGTACAGCATTTACATATGTGTAGCGTAGTAGCGTATTATGCATTTACATATTTTAGCAAAGTAAAATAGACATTTAAATAAGACTGATAATAGTTTCGCGAATATCTTGCGTTAGAGACTATTTGAATGCGTACACATTTTAGAAACCCTTACATCTTCACGTTTATAGAGCGTCTTTTATATGAGATCAAAGAGATTGGCTTCTACATTGGAGTTCGCGAGAACTGTCCTGAATGGATGTTTTGGTAGCGGTCTGAAATATCACGTAAGATTTCTGCGTGCAAGAAATCCACCGATGATGAGGGAAAATTTATTATTTACAATTAAATCGACTTTTTGAGAGCCGAAGCGTTAATTTATCCGTAAAATTACCTTAAAATCGACAATATTTGCTTCCAAAATGAATACAAGAAAATTATAAATAACAATTAATTCAAAATCGAATCATAAGACATCTTATATCTCTGTTTTGGACATGGTGCTATGTATCATTGTAACAAAGAAAATCGAAAAACTTTTTAAATATGCGAAACGCAGAAACCAATTAACATAATTATCAACTTTCAAGGCGATACAATTGGTGGTGTTTGTGTCACGACATTTCGGTTAATTGACAATTGATATGCTTGACCAAGAAATGTCTTGTCGTGTAATGACTTCTTGGAAACCGAAACACGAAAATAAGAAAAGCGTGGCATACCGTTATAAGTATCTTTTGCCACAATATATGTGCAATCGACTTCAGTCTTTCACGTTGGTCACACAATATCGAGGAACCGATACACGTTCCTCTCATCCAGCGTTCGCTTCTTCTATTATCATTCTTTTTAGCAGACAGTGTAGTGCCTAATTGACTGCAGCATATTCACGTACAAGACACTTGTGCACGTACAAGTCACGTACAAGGCACGTGGTAAACTTCACCAGGATATAACCATTTTCAAGCGCGTCAGTGTGTCTTTTTCTTTGACAGGTAACACATGATATTCGTATTCCTTGCATTATCGCACAGTGAGTAACTTCGTCAATGATATGATACGTATGTATTGTCAGTTTCGTGACTTGTGCTATTCAAAACGCGGTTAGAACGTGCGTAAAAATAGATGTGTACCAGTTCTTATCAAATTATCACTGACCATGTTTAACTGGCCAGTGAAGAATGACTGTTGCTCGTTTTACATTACGGACAAATAAAAGTCTACTCAGCAATAGTTATTTATCATCATTGACCACCATTTATCAGTATTTATCACCATTGACCATTTTATCACAACCAGTAATTCTTTTTTAAATAAGGAAACTACATCCGTGACGTGCAAAATTGGGCAATACTGCCCTCTAGAAGTCCTACAAGTTCTATCTTGACGTTACTTAAATTTTTTAATAATGTAAAGTTCTGTAAAATATATAAAAACCTGCCAGCTTTTCTTTTTCTGATCCACTAAGATCCAATATGAAGGTGTTGTCAACTTTCCTTGTGATCTTGGCGACCTGTGATCACGTCACCAATGGATACCGGATCCTCGGCGTATTTCCTTTTCAAGGTTATAGTCATTGGATAATGATAGAACCTCTGATGGAAGGTTTGGCGCAACGTGGCCATCAGGTGGACGTGATATCGCACTTCCCACGGAACAAGGCGGTACCGAATTACATGGACATCAGTATATCCGGCAGCATGCCTAAATTTGAAAACAACATTAACTCGACGCAAATATTTACGTTCAACCATTTTTCCATAAAGGATCTCATCCATGTAACCGGGACTATGCTTTGTAAGCTGCTGGCCCATCCAAAGATACAAAATGTGATCAAGAATCCGCCGCAGGATCCTCCTTACGATCTTGTTATCGTAGAGGTATGATCGATGCATTTTCCCTCGCATTCTCTCGTACGAAAGAAACAATTTTTTCATACAACCTTTCAATTGAATCAATCGGAATTGAATATTCTTACGGTCTTCCTTATTTATCAAGAAACATGTAACAGTATTCGCAGAATTTACTTGCAATCCGGTTAACTTTAAATTATCCACGATTAATTTATGCACGAACGTTATACGTCCCTTCACTAGTTGCGTAAGATCTGCATATGATATATGATGAAAAACCAGGACGGGCTTTGCATTTCATGTCTTGCGCTAAACATTCACGCGTTTCATGAAGAAACTCAACCCTAAAAGACGCGATTCGTCGTCGACGACGAGATTCGGAGAATAATTAATTAATCGAACGACCAACACACAAACACAGGTGTTGGTATCACCATGCTTTTTGGCTTTCGGCCGTCATCTCAACGTTCCGATCGTCGGTTTGGTAAACATAAACTTTCCCGACTGGCTGAACAAGTTGCACAGCGATCTGTTTAATCCCTCCTACATGCCGAGCTTCATCTCGCCGTTCGGACAACAGATGAACTTCAAGGAACGTATGCACAACTTCTTCATGGCGCATCTGACCTTCGCAGAATTCCTCTACCTCACGAGCTTTCAAATGGAAGACGTAGAGAAGAATTTCGGCATAAAAAATGCTACCGTTATTGACCTGCACAATGATATATCTTTGTATCTGGTCGACTCGCACATCTCATTGTACGGAATCAAACCGTTAACCCCCGCCGTAGTCGATGTGGGCGGTCTACACATCAAGAATGACAATGTTACACTCTCGTCGGTACGTTTGAACAAAGTGGCTTTCTCAAATATCCGCAATGTGTGTATTCTGGACTTCTTCCTGGGTGCAATGAGACGCGACCGACAAAATCGAACTATTTATCATTAGTATCGTTGCGAACGCGCTTCCATTTATCTCTTCCTCGCTCAAACGGGAAGTGTCAAGATACGAGCTGCATGAAAAACGGTTGCTTCTTTGTGCGAAATATAGATTTAAATTGATAGAGCGTTTAAATTGATAGAGCGTGAAAATAATAGAAACGGAGGAAATCTATAACAAGAACTACGCGTGTTTTATTGTCAAAAGCAAAAATTATGAAAGACGGGAAGAACGCATTTTTATATCCGGCGTAGAGAGTATTTCCCTTTGATCTCCGTGCATTAATAACAAATGGATTGTTTGAATCTATTTAGAAATCCGCATGGATGTTTTATAGAAAATTGCTAAATATATCTCGTATTTCACTGTTGTTGTTAACTCGTATACAGAAAGTATATATCAATATGTTTAAAGTTATTATGGATATCATAAAAGATAACGAATTTTTATCAAAGTGTGACGAGATTTTTTTTCAAAGCCGATGGAATGCTAAATTTATCTCATTATTAGAGCGACGCCCTGAAGATCCTATTTTATAAATTCTTTCTAAAAGAAAAAATTGGAGAAGGGCTAAATGAAATTCTCTTTCCAAATATTTTCTTACTTTGATTTTCTTGTAAAGATTTTCTTATTTTGAAGTGTCGTAAACGTGCAAATTTCGCGACAGCCCATTGTATCCTGGCAGAATTAATCATTGCGAATTATTCGAGTTATTTCTAAAATGAGATTTGTCTACAGGAAGTGCAAAAATGGCTGGACGAAAGCAAGGACGGCTGCGTGTACTTCACATTCGGTTCTATGATCAGGATCGAAACTTTCTCTAAGGAAATAATAGAAATATTCTACACGTCCTTCAAGAAGATCGCGCCGGTTCGGGTACTAATGAAAGTTGCGAAAAAAGAAGATTTACTGCCGGGATTACCGGATAACGTCATGACGCAATCTTGGTTCCCACAAAACGCTGTGCTGAGTATGTAATTACTGTTCGCTTTGCGGCTGAATCAGAATAATCGATACGTTTGTATTCCAGTAAGCAATCTGTTAACTATTTGATGACAGATCGAGTATGATCAGTCGACAGATTCATAATCATTCGCGTCAGCAATCTGTTATTATTACGTCGACAACACTGCTGACTGAATCTAACAGTAGAATGGCGGCAGAAAGAGTGCAAGATGTACAGTATGTCCTAAGAGCGAAATCGCAAATCTTACAAAATTAATTAAACGACTGTCACACGTCGATAAATTTTATTCTCAAAGTTAATCTGAACGTTCGGAAATTCGTAATGTCTTATTCATAAAAGAGAGTCCCAATAACTTTGGATTGGTGTAAATTATTCTCTGTTTTTCGTTTCTTTTCGCTCTAAAATTGTCGTTCTATATTCGTCGATCTCTCGATCGTGACACTTGTTTTCCACCGTCAAAACGATGCATTACTTTGAATTTTCGCAGAGCACAGAAACATACGAGCTTTCATTACACACGGTGGAATAAAAGGGACGCAGGAGGCGATTTATTTCGGAGTCCCTATGATCGGCATCCCCCTGTTTCTCGATCAGTATTTGAACATCGTGATATACGACAAAAAGAAGGTAGCTATCTCGCTAAACTCGATACACGACGTCACCGAGGAGAAATTAACATCGGCGCTAAATAGCATCCTGAAGGATCCCATCTATCGGTGAGACGTAGGAAAGTCTTTAGACATTCTCAGGTCATCTTTATAACGTCTGTATTGTATAGGTTGCAATGATATCCATCAGGGATGTTCCAATCAGTGCAATTCTTGTATGTCCAAAATCCGAAGCGATATTACATTTTCTCTTTCTCAAATTCTCCACAAGAAAAACATAATTCTTAACTTCCGTCGCTTCAGCACATACATTACCTAAATTAAGATTTTCATAAAAAGATTAACCAAGCTGTAATGATATAGCAATTCGATCTCCTGCGAACTGGTCTCTCTCTCTCACTTGTTTCAGAAAAAACGTGCAAAAATTGTCGAAATTATTCGTCGATCGTCCTATGAGCGCCTTGGATACGGCTATATTCTGGGTGGAATACGTTGGAAGAAATGGGAACATTCTTCAATCACCAATCATACGGCTCTACTGGTGGCAACGTAACTTATTGGACCTTTATGCCTTCTCATTGTTCGTGGTCATTGCGGTGCTTTTGATCTTGAGGTTTATTCTTCGGAAGATCAAGACGTTCTTGTTTGGATCGTACATGGACATAAAGAAGGAAATTGCGGAGTTCACAAAGAAAAAGAACACATAATGAAGACCGAGAATTTCTTCAAGAATTTTATTTATGAATAAGTTTCAATAGATCGAATTAATAGAACAATTATGTTATCGAATCCCAGATATCATAAAAAGAATCTTCGATTTGTCATTAACATCATGTTAACAAACAGCTTTCCGATTGGCTTCAACTTTCGGATCATAATATCCTGACTTACGGTACTTTTCAACAATGTAAATTATAACAATATTTTAGACAGAAAATGCCAGATTGTTAGGACCAATGATAAAAAATTTTTTTACATTACCCTATGTACCTGATTTTACTAAAAGTCTTAATCTTTTATTTAAGCCCATAGGCAGATAGAAACGAATCGTTAGGGAGGGAAAACATCTCTCTCTCTCTCTGTCTTTGAAAAAGCAAGAAATATCTCTTTAAAATCTCTTTGAAAATGCGAGACGTGTAAAACGAATACGATACGGCACTGAAGTATGAAATACTCGTATGGAAAACATTCTCCTTTCGAGTTCTCGCACGAGGTAAGGTAAGCGTGTATTTTGCAAAAGTAATGTTAGAGAAATAGCCATCCCAAGCAGCACGTAAACGTTCGAGGAACGTTCACTTTATGTTAACTTGGTTTGGTTATATTCAAACAAAGTGGGAATGTTCGAACAACATACATTTTAGAACTTCTAATATATATCTTACGTTACGTCCTTGGTACCCCGGGACGACGAACTCTTTTTTATATATATATATATATATATTTGGGAAGCCAACGGACTTCTGGGAAGCGCTATCGTAAAAAGAATAAAATTACAATAGCCGCCATTAAACGCGCCATGTGTTTCCCAACGCGTCTGTCATCTTCTTCGCCTTCACGTAAGGCACGTAGTTTTGTTACATTTTGGGTACCCCAGGAACAACGAACTCCTTTTGTTTTATGTATATACAGTGGCTAACGAAAATATTCGAACGATTAGATTTCTTATCTTTAGCACATAAAATAGGTATGTTAATCCTGAATATTTAAAGCAATTTAGTGTCTATAGAAAGAAGGAAGTCCTAAGATTATGTTAGTAAAATTAGAAAATAATCCAATCGCATATGTAGTGTCTACGACAGATTTTCTTGAAATACGTACCAGGCATGGGTAACAAAAGTATTCGAACGCTTCAAAGTTATTTGTGTTTCGGTTTGTATCTCAATGCTGAATGTAAACATGAGCATCAAATTTAAACAAAGGAACATTCAATTGATCACAAGACATCATTTGAGTAAGAGTAACGTACAGTTGTGCAGTGTAATAATGAATACGAATAGGAAAAAGTCAGAAACACAAAACTGTGAACAAGAAATGCTATTAAAACTACGTAGAGACGGAAAATCTTATAATGAGAATACGAAAATTGTAAACAGAAATAAATCTACAGTGCATTACATAATAAAGAAGTTTGAAAATCAAGAAACTGTTGCCAACAAAGCTCGTTCAGGTCGTCCGAAAAAATTGACAAGCAGAGAAGAGAAAACTATAGGAAGTCGAAATATAATTATAGGCGGTAAAAACGGCTTCGCAAAGGGCACCGGACGATATTAAAGTTGAAGAATTCCAGAGATGCTTCAAACAGTGGGAAAAAAGACTTGACAAGTGCATCGCATCTAGTGGAGAGTACTTTGAAGGTGACTGAAGGAATTTTGTAAAAAAGTTAATAAATAAAGTTTTCTAAAGATCTTCTAAAATCGCCAATATTTGTTCCCAAAAAATGTAAAATATATGATAAGTAGCATGTTTAATATTAATTGATTTTCATCTTTTTTATATTATAGATAATTTGTTCATGTCAGTTGATATCGAAGAAAGATGTCATTGTGTCAATTGGATGACAATGAGTTAGTAAGTTCCAAGTAAGTTTAGAATTAAAAATACTATTCTGATAAAGTTCTCCGTTCTCCATTAAGTTTGAAAAATGTTTGTTTAAAGACGTTCGAGACATTTTCATCAGAACAAAATACATTTTGATTTCATGAAAATTGCGAAGTGGATCTTGTTGGAACTACAGTCGATATTAAAAACAAAGATTATTTGATTAATATTTTATTGAATAAAAAATTTCTTCAGGAATTTCTAAAGAAATACACAGACGAAAAAGTGTGCTAACAGCAATAAATTCTGCAGAAGAAAGTCTCATATGATTTTGGAAAAGAAGACAAATGATATAAAACACATTATTGAAACAACAGAAGATTTCCAAGCTTTTAAAGAAAACTTGCAACTTGAGGAGAAGAAAAAAGCTCCGGCAATTATATTTAATACATATTATATTAATATTATTAATATTAATATTAATACTATGCTTAAAAGATACACGGCGTTTTCATCGAGCAAGCAATGAATGTCGAGGATCATCAATTGATTTCGTCAGTTAACATTCTAAATCTTTTTGACAATAAGCACTCTTCTAAAACGCAATACAATCGCTAGAGAAAATTTAGTCAAAAGACACCTTCGCCTCGACATTCGTTCTATGCGATTTTTGTTTATTTGCGTGGTACAATAAATAAAATATATATTTATTTAACATAAATAAATGGTATATTTATAGCATCAGTTCGCTTCAATATTCGGTCTGCCCCAGCACACTGTACATGATCCTCTTGAAGCTGTTGCTCTGGTGGATCTTCTCACCGTCGTCGTCCAGCACATTTATCTGAAAATTGAATCACACACAGCCGCTCTACGTCTGCGCAGAATTGCAAGTATACACCGTAAGTGAACCACATCTTAATATGTGCACAGGAAAGGCGGTTTGTTTTATGTATTTATGTTTTATGTTATTTCTTTTGTCTCGCGATACAATAACATGCATAATCGTTCTCGCAGCAACTCTCAACGGCGCATTACGTGAAAAAGAAAAGAAGAACAGGACACCCGAGTAGCATAGCGTGCAGCAAAATCTAGCATCTGCTCTATATGAATCAAATTTCGCTATGCGGAAGCGGACGCATACGAGCACTTATGCGAAAGTCCTTATTGCAAAGAGAAGACGCACGTACAAGTCCCTGCGAAATTTTTAATAGTCGTTGATGAAGTCCTTAACGAAAGGGAGAGGGAAGGGACGTCTATAAAATCCACCCTTAACGAAACAGAGGCCGAAAATTAAATTAGTCCTATCTTGTCTCTTGACCGCGACGATTAAATGACAATCCCATTATCATGATTTCATTAAAGTTAATTGCAATATAATAAATTAAATATATGTACGATATAAAATAATGAATGTGGTAGAAGAAATTCTAAATGTGTACACGTGCTTTTTGTGTATGTTTGGAAGAGTGGTCGTGAAATATTTTTATTGTTATATGTAAGTTTAAGAAAGATAAGTGTGTGTGTGTATATATCGAATTTTAAACGATCTCTCGACGGTGAAATGCAAGCGGTCGATTATTACTGGGAGATGATTTGGCGCGCTGCTTTGGTAGACGAAAAAGAAAGAAATGCAGAAGTAGTGTCTCGTGCCAAGTTGCTTATATAATTCGGTTGCGGTTTCATCGTCCGGCTGTGCTCGGCAACGTTATAGAACGTACCAGGCCGACCGAGTGGTCAACAAATCTTTCATAAGAAAGCAAATAATGCAATAAATAATAAAGTAATAATAGAAAAGTGACAAGAAAGGGACGAGATTAAGATTATGTCGGAAAATCAAACCTCCGAGCGAAGTCGGCGCTTTTTGTGGTATGAGTACGAAGACATTTCACGAGATGAGTGACGCGGTTTAATAACTCGCGCAAGATACGAAAGACTGAGATCAGCTTGGAAAGTAATGTGCAGCTGCGTTGTCGCAAAAATGCCTTCGTAAGATCCATGCGACTACATGCGAGCAAGAGATACGTATCGAAAATGCATGTTCTCGAAGCCTGCCAAAAGTGGTTTGTAACGTGTGCCCTTAAATTGTTACTTAAATTAATTGCAAATCCAAACGGAGAAAGCGGTTGCTTACGTATGCGGGACTTTTCGGTGGAGCCTGGTATATCTATAAACCAAGATACATTGTGGTACATTGTTATTGTTAAAAAGTTTTCAAATTTAATTAATTTAATATAAATATTCCGATATTTAACACTTAATGTAAAAGGAATCATTATTTATACAGGGCGAGGCAATAATAACTATTGCCACTTTAAATATCTCCGAAATATGAGAATAAGAAGAAAATTTATCTGACGGATAAGTTGCATCGATCTCCTCAATTCGTCGTCACTTCGAACACTTTCTGTGAATGTGAACATTTTTCATCTTCATCTCCCCAGTTAATAAAATCTTTAAAAAATATCTATATTTTTCAAAGATACTCAAAATACTGATAATAATTAGCCTCACTTTATATAATAAGAATACCAAATTAAATCTCGATCGAGATGAAAAATCGGCTTCAAAAATCAAGCGAAGAATTTATCTTTGCCGGAAGATTAAACATTTTCTTCTTCGTGTGAGTACGCACCTTGTTGGATTTCTGCGGCGTGAAGACGCCGGTACGAACCGGCTGCCTGACTTCCTGCACGTAGTCCCCGAGCGCCTCCTCCTGCAGGGCCTTGTATGCCTCGCTCTTGCTCGGATCGTACTTGATCGGCTTCTTCAGACTGCACGTATCGCATGTGTGGACACAGGGACGACTTTTAATCGCTTTCGCACTTTCTCCCTCCCACACGACAATCTTTTTTTTCTATCTGGCTTGGTTAGCAGCGGCCGGGGTTACGATTGTTTTTGCCAATTAGATCCTTGCTACTTGCTTTCGTCTGTTCGAGAGCGACTTTCAGACGCGTCCTCCAGCCGTTTAATCGAGAGAACGATTATTCCTCATCGTGCAAACTCGACGTGCATGCTCGATCAAGAAGAACGCGTTGGATATTTCGAAAATTATGCCTTCGAGAAAAATGTTCGAGGAATTCAAAAAATCTCTATCCATTCTTGTAATTACAAAAACAGCAAGAATCAAATAAATTTCATGAAATGTTTATATATGTAAGCTCTGTACATAACTTTGCAGTTTCAAAAATTAAATTCACGGCAAAATCTCGTTCCAATCTCTTTAAGTAACAATTTTTAATATGTGTGCAGGGAGTTGATAAAAAATTATTATACTTAATTAGATGAGATATTTTTACATAATAAAGTTTCAATTAAATTATTTATACAATCAGGATTCTTTTAATTTACTGTTCTGTTACCAACAGTAATAAGATGTGCACACAACTAACACTTTACTTTAAAAAATGAGAAAAATAAGCAACTTTCAAAGACGTAATTTTCGAAAGTCGTCCCGAATTATTCGTGCACGGTATCTACGATGCAAGCATACGAACACTCGTTAAGGAAATATCGAAGTTAGTAGATAATATCTCACGTGTTTTCAACTACCATTGAGCATTAATTATTAATCATTTACTACTCTATCGCGCATGCAAAAACGTATTGCTATCGCTAGAAAGAAAGCTTTTTGCGCGGCTTGTATCCGATCGTGTCTCGCGAAAGAACTACATAATTTTTACGATGCACCGCAACCCTATAACTTTTACTATGTAATATGAACGGCGAATTAACTCAAAATAATAATCACATATTCATTCGGAGCTCATTGGCCACGTTCACTCTATCTTGTATCTCGATAATTAATCAAAATATCTATTTAACTTTCTACATCATCAGAGAGAGAATTTCAATTATCTTCGGAAAAATTTTTTTTTTCAATAATGTTTCGAATAAATAAGTAATTTATTTAATCGTAATGTGAACATCTATATCAGTGTACTGAGTTGAACAATTTAACGAACATCTAACTATAATATTCTTATAGTGCCCTAATTTTTTTTCCATCGTGATTATTTACTACATTAATTATTTAATTATCGAATTTCTTCACATTGGATTCTAAAATATAAGTTTCTCCAAGTTTTTCTAACTGCATCGATGATTTGAGTAAATATGCAATATATTTTGGCGACAAAGGAACGTGCCCAATATGATCCACGTAAAAACCGGAAAACTCTGCCGTCGTAGATCCGACATGCTAGAAGCATCGGAAAACGTCTCGAACGTCTCGACAAATTTTAATTTGGCTTATTGAATTGCGGCCACACGTTCTTCGAGGAGGCGGCTTTGGCCTGCTCCTTCAACATTCTCGCTTGCTCCTGTATTTCTTGTTTCTGTTTCAGGAAGGAAAAGTCTATGAAAATGCTGGAAAACAAACAAACCGCTACGTAAGTAATCAATCAATCAGGAGGATCCGAGAGCGCATAGGAAAAGAAAAAGACATAGAAGGACCAAGCCGATATTCCTTCCTTTAACGATCGAAGACTGGCGATCGCGCATCCTTGAGCACAATAAGTTCAGAGTTATAGTTCTCCAATTGGTAATTTTTCTCGAATCAGCCCTCGTAGATATATCGTCTGCCGAAAGAGATAATTTGTTTTTCATTTCTCCGTTTGCGTTTCTTCCAAGAATTTCTAATCCGATGAGAAATTTAGTGTAAGTCTCTAAAAATTTCTTAGGAAATTATATCTTAAAATCATTAACACTTCGCGACTTACATGCTCAATTGTGAGATATGCTTGTATAAAATAAGTGATTTCAGAGAAATTAATTTATTTCGACAAATTAGAAATTTGAAAACTTCTAAATCGAGTGCTTTTTACTTGAAAATCTCTAAGGCTCGTATTAATAGTTATTACTTGAAATTTGTCTCACATGGGACATTCGGAGATCAGAATTTACAAATAGATCGGAGTTTTTTAGTTGAGTCATATAATATATGACATCACATTTGTAATTGTAATTTGTAATTCAATTGAAAAATTCTACATCTAACTTTAAATACAAATCTGAATATCTCACTCGAGATAAATTTCAAGTAACGACTATTAATACAGGCCTTAATCGATTTGTCAAAAATTAGGAATTCAATTCCAATGAATGAAATCACATCGATAGTATTTACTTGTGTTTACTATTTATATATTTATATATTATTCTTTATACTATTTAAATATTATTAATAGTGTTTAGATTCATCTATTTTTTATATAGATATTTTTATATGGATATGCATCAGTCTTGTAAAATAATGCCTGTCGATTTCAAGCAACGTGAGACATCGTATTGTGTGTGTGTGTGTGTGTGTCCGCATGAGGAACTTTTACATATGTGACAACGATCTGTCAGTGCGTGAGCGACATTCAGCGATAAAGCTAATTTTTATCATTAATCGTGCTATCCTCTGTGACTACTGCAAGCTTCACGGCGTATTAGCGCTTCGTTAAATATGACTATGCTTTTAACTTGGTGTTAAAGGCTAGTTAAATGAACTTAGTGAGCAGTCGACGAGTAAATTAACGATCGATTACTTACGGTACGGCGGACGCTTGGCACTTGATGGTGTCTGCAATGTTCTGATCCGAGTAGAGTCCGATCGGCGAATTGAATTGCTTGTGGACAATCTGGAAAATGGAATTTCATCGTTCACGTTATCGAGCCCGCTATTTGCACGATTATCGCGTTATATACCGCACGAAATCTGAGGAAATATTCCCGTGAGAATCGGACGACTAACATTCCTCGTGTAGAAACGTACGCAATAAAAAATTTTTCGTTAAAAACGGTCCACTAAAGTTTTTGTGTTACTTTACCTTAGTTATGGTGAATATATTAAAAATTTATATGTTAACAAAGCGAATATGTTAATTAAATATATCTCATACAGTACAAATGTTCAAAAGACATATTAGAGACGTTCCAAAAATATCCGAACATCTCTATGATATTTCTGTAATACTTTTTAACATATTTCCCATGTTAAAATAACACAAAAGTTTCAGTGGGCCATTTCTAACAAAATTTGTTATCGTGTAAGTGAAACTTATTACGACTTCTCGTTACTTCGACACTTATTCCTAACGATGTATAATCAACATTTGATAAACACACCACTGTAGGTACACCAACACGTGAATATCCCAAGACTTTTGTGCGGTATGAGAAGTAACGGAGAATTAATAACGCATTAATACAATATAGGTGTCCACTGAAGATGTTGCGTATTATTGCAATATGTCATCAAAATCGTGTTATTCGCTACTGCGCTATTACGTTATGACAATATAGTGCTGCAAAAAGTAAACATAACTCTAGCGTGTTGGCATTGAACGCAACAAACATTCTGCTAATGCCAAGTCTTTCGCTCTCCCTCTCTCTTTCTTTTCAACATCGAAGATACGCGGTATTAACGCGGACAGACGAGACCCGTGTTTATTCTGCAAAACATCGCTGCCACAAGATAACCGTCACAACGTGAACGTCAATCGACGGCTCGGTCACACACAAATTACCGCACTGTTGAATCATTAACGGCGACACACACGGTGTTTCGGGCTACGTGGTAGTAATATCCCGTAAATAAGTGTTACTTAACATAAGTAAATTACCAAAGTAACTTGATCGCGCGTCACCTTAGTAATTCAAGTTACTTCAGCAATTTAATTATAAACAGGAATTGGCGCAAGCTTCATTCACACCGCGATGCGATATCGATGCATCGGGTTGTATGGTTACTTCGGATTATCGAGTTAACAGACGAGCCCAGGACATCCTGTATCGTTTTGATCCTGCAAATATTGCTATTAGTCGTTTGGTCACACTGCGAGTCCAAATCGCGACAGAGCGACGGGGGGAGAGGGGGTCTCGTGGAAGGGAAGAAAAACGAAGCTTCCGCAAAACTCGAGACCCCTGCGGGATACCGTCGGCCGTCACCAAAGCGTAAGCGTCGTTTCTCGAAGCGGAAGCGACTTATGTGAGGAACAAGTAGAGAACAAGAGAGAAAAAAAAGAAAAGAAAATGGTCCAAACCTTTGGAACTTCATTCGGTCCTATGACACGCTGAAGTACCGTTTCCGCCACCTGCTCAGACACGTGTAAGGAAATACGATTTTAAAAAGAGCTCACACACGACTCTTCGCGACACGCAAACACGTGTCTCACCGTGAGAGAAAAAAGAAAAAGAGAGAAATATAACAGACCCATTCCCGATTTATGCCCCGGGGGCGAAGGGTGATTACGTGAAAGGGTTGCCGCGCGTAAGGGTTACCTTTTGCTTCATAGCCACCTCAGGATGAGCAGGCTCATAATGATGGGGTGCTGCCCGGATCATCGGGTTCGGATGATGCCGCAGGTAACATTCGCCGAGAGGAGCATCCTTCTTGACTTTGGCGCCTGGCAGGACCAAAGGAGTCGTGCGGTAGGGCTGAAAGTACGAAGGAGAGAACGAGTTAGTGCGATGGAGTCGAAACGGTGCGAAGTCTGACGGGAGAGACACGTTATTTCGGGTATCTCGTTCCCGGCGATGATTTACGATACGGTCTTGACGTAATCGCGATTGCAACCCTTATCGAAGATACATTTTGTCATCCGCTGCCTTGCCAAACAGGTCCTAATTAGCTGACGATATCGAAAATAAACTGTAATGGAGGCCATGGCGATTGAAAGGTGGCTCGTTAATCTCCGACGCTTATGTCACTATAATTCCGAGCAACGACGAAAATAAATCCGCGACGATGTTGCAGACGACGACATTGTTCTCGTTTCGTAACGTTAACGATCGAGGCGAGGTTCGCGCGCGATTACGACGATTCAAGTGACAATAATTTTCTATATTTTTCTAATACACATCCACATACGTGTGCAAGAATATGAAGTAAAAAAATTGCGTTAAAAACTTGTGTAAAAAACTGCCTAATAAAATTTTGTTACTTTAATACAGAGAATGTGTTAAGAAGTGCGCAAATACGATGTTAAATTAATTCATTTTGTCAACATATTTTGACACATATTTTTATACTTTTTAACACATGTTAAAGTAGCACAAAATTTCAGTAAACCGTTTGTAACATAAGAAATTTGTTACCATGTAGACAAATGTGACGAATTCTGTTATTCTAATAATAAAGATTTGTGAAGAGACTAATTCGGCCGGATTTGTTTCTTAAAAAATTTTTATCACGACTCTTAATGCTTAAAATCTTTTCTCTAACAACCAAATTCGGAGTTAAGTTGCTTTAAAATTTTTTTATGATAGCTATTAATACCTGAAATCTTTTCTTTCGTTGATACTTTTCCTGTGACTAATACTTTTCTTCTAAATCGATCATTAATGATCTTTGCCACGACGACGTCATGCCGCTTTTATATGGGGCGGGGGGGGTGATAATTATTAGCGATAGCAGGGTTGGCCGGTATTTCTGGCGTAAAATCACGAGCCGGAAGTGATACCGCCCGATGACCGATCGCTCTCAAAGGAGCCGAAATTCCGCCCAGCTGGCTCACAATGAGAAAATTGCACAAAACGACGACGGTCGCGTTACGAATCAACCACTTGGCAAGTTACGAGTCGTTACGTCACGTGCGGCTCGTTTTTGCGCGAGATTACGAAATTACGCGGTTCTAGATGCATCACACATCGCCGATTCGCCACGCGAGTCGTCTCTGTTTACATTACAGCCAAACCAAAACTCGTCCGTGAGAACGAGCCACGGGAGATGACATATGTTCCGCGAAATTTTCGCGAATGTTTTCGCGGAGTCGCGCAGCAGGAAATCTCGAAGTGACGAGCTATTGTCGCAGCTGTTATGAGATCGCTGCGTCATTTTAAGTTTAAGTTTTGAAAGTAATTCCGCATTTTACCCCACCGGTAAACGCCCCTCCAAAATAGCCACTTTTGAAGGACGGTTCGAGATTTATGAGCAATCTCGCGATTTTACTCTGCGGAGTTGCCGAATTGCGTCTCGAGCTTGCGAGAGCGTCGGTGGAAAAACACCAAACACGCTGATGTAACGTTGTATCGTGGCGCATTGTTATAATTCGCAGACATCGCTCTTTCGCAAAGCTCTGCTCTTTGCGCGTTCTCAGCTCATGTAAGGTGTCCAGAAAATCGATCTGGAAAATTAATGTAGGAAAAATATATCGAGAATAAATTTATTACAAAGGTAAATCGAAAGGAATGGTAGCGGCGAGCGATTAAATTGGCAAATCTTGAGCTGTCGAGTAAATTAATGGATATAACTCGCGATCGGGAGAGAGAGAGAGGATAATGCAAAACTTTGGTCGCATCGTCCGCGCGGGATCAAGGCACCACCACGAGGGGGTTGAAGCAGCGCCATTTCACGACGATTTCGCGCAGTGCGACTTCACGCGCAATTTTAGCCTCGCGCGCTTTCAAGTCGCAAGTTCGCGCGGATTTCGCGCCTCGGCGAAATCGCGATTACGGTGTGAATCCATTATAAATGGGTCAGGTACGTCATTATGTTAGAGGGTGAGCGCGAGTGACTCTCTCGAAATAGACGAAGGCCCCTGGCCGGCAAAAATAACGCGCACCCCGCGAGCCGTGTGTACGAGAAGCCTCTCTCTCTCTCTCGCTCTCCCTCTCTCGCGTCTCCCGTCCGCTTTTCCATCCGAACTTTTTCACCAGGAAGTGTGCGTCCGCGTGCGTTCTTAGACGAGAGCCGTCGAGAGTGAACAAGGTCGCATGATGGCTGAGAAAGGAGCAGTGGGTCGAGCAAGGTCACCACTCGGCCCAAAGGGCGTCTTATTTCCGTCTCAACGACGTCTCGTCTGGATCTCCCTTTAACCGCGGCTCACTTCGAAGTGAATCATGATAGGATGCGGAGCGAAGTTTCGTAAGATGAAGTCAACCCGTGGCCGAGAAATATTCGAATTTAGCAAGACGGGACGGCAAATGGTTTCTTCCACACCGTGACCGTAACATCTCCGAATATGACCCACGCGCCGTGCAGAAAAGAAAAAAATTAGAACGCCAATTTACTCGGACGTTAAAATTTCGGCCGGGCCGGTCAGCAACCGCGTTGCGCTCGGCGAAATTGCCGGTGAATGAATCGTGATTTCTATTTTCCTATTTCCCCTTTCTCCTCTTCTTAATTTTCGCAAATGTCGCTTGCGTCGCATTTCGTAAAAAAGTCCGCCGAACTATATTCAGACGGCGAGCGAAACAGCTGTGTTTCGCGGAGTGTTTATTGCTTGGCGGCGGCGGCGGCGTCGAGGTGAAACTTGAACTCTTTGGAAACTGATTGGGGCACGCTGGCAAGACGCGGGCTAACGAGCAGATGTTCCGTCTTCGTTGGATGCTTCGTTGAGCAAAAAGCTTTGCGTGCGTGATAACGATTGAGCGATCAAACTCACCGTGACGAACCGTCGCGTATTTGATCCCGCCTTTTCCCTCTTCGAGACATAGAGAAACAAAATTCAGTCGTCCGTCGCCAGGCCGTCATGCATTGTTTTCCGGCTCGGCAAAGCACGGGATATCGGATTTCCGATTTCGTTCGGGTCTCGCGAATATCGGCCGTTAATTGAACGTCGCTCTCAGCCTTATTAACTAGCGAGCATCTAACTTCCGCAGGGCGATTTTTCGAACGGACGGGCGTAGTTCGCGCGCGCGCGCGCGCGCGAGTTCGAAAAACGCGAAGAAGACGTGGGTGTGTTCTTTGTATGACGGCCTCTCATGTTTGAGTAACCCAGATCCCGTTCACGAAAATAGAACGCGATACCGATGAACGGCATCGCAACGCAACGGAACGCGCGCGCGGCGGTGCCTCGCGTTGCGTTTTATTGCATCGCGCGTTATTAACGCAGCGCGTTGAAGCCTGCGCCTTTCATCAGAGGGTCATCCGACTCTGCCGAGAAATCCCCTCCCGCGAGTTCCCCACGATTTCGATGAAACAATTAATCGAATTCTTCGGCGATACGCAGAGTCGCGCGAAATCCAACACAGTTATACATCCATGAATACCGTGTCAAGGTTGGACGATGGCGAAATCTAGATTCGTCCGATGATTCTATTATATTCGGTGCCGCCCCTTATTCGATATATCGATATGAATAACGTGCCGGTGAGGCCGACACTCCTTCCTGTGTTTTTGGTATTTTTAGGGTCGCCCGCGGCTACGTAGTTGTGGACTCGTGCGGTTACGATCGTTTTAAGATGCGCGACGTCGAACGTCGCGACGACGAATTCAACGCGCGCGCGCGCACGTCATTTACACCGGTGAATCGTGGTAATACCGCGATGTAACGAATTTCGTAATAAGGACCGAATGAGAACATTGGTTCGTTAAGAGAAGTTACTCCACAGCGGGATATATTTAATTAAGATAGGAGAGAAGCAATCATTATCAAGTCACACAGGGAAATATTTCGTGTTGAAAACGGACCACTGAAATTTTCGTGCTTATTTTTAACATAGAGGATTATGTTAAAAAGTAGCCAAATATATGTATTAAATTAACATATCCACCTTATTAACATCATCACATATCGCTTCTTAACGTATTCATTTTTGTTAAAGTGGCACCAAAATTTCAGCGGGCCGTAATTTTATACAAAATTTTTCCCTACGCATTTATACGCGAGTCATCTGTTATTCCTATTTACAAGCGTTAAAAACTGATCGTCGATTAAATAGCGCCGATATTATGGGCGTGCGTTTTGCACGTATGTAAATGCATATTACACGGAGGAAAAAAAAGTTTCGTCGGATCGACTTGACAACGAACAAACCAAACGCATCTCTCTGGAAGGAAACTGAATTTCTGGTCCTCGTAAACCAAATTCAGTTCTCACAGTCAGAAATTTGCGTTTCCTCCAACCAAAACGCATCTGGTTCGTTCACTGCCACGTTAATTCCCAACTTTTTTTTTTCGTGAATATTACAAAAAATTACGTACCTCTACATGTTAATATTAATGTGATAATGCTTGATAATTGCTTTCTGACACTGAAGCCGATATGCATCGGCAACAATAAAAATTTGCTCAATTCCCCACTGGACGAACGTGAATTTTTGTATGATTTTACATCATCATATTACATACACCAGTGATTTACAATTTTAGCGGACGCAACGTCACTCTCATTGTCTTCTCTCTCTTTCTCTCTCTCTTTCTCTCTCCTTCTCTCGCGAGATACATGGCCGTTCGCAAAATCCTCGGGTACATTTTGGCCGTCACGTTGACAAAGATGCACGTTCAAGGGCGAGGAAATTCGTCTCGCCCGGAGACGCGCGTTTTCGTGCTCGCGAGAAAGCCCTCGAGGCCAGGAACCCGACAGTTTTGCCCCTCAAAAAAATATCCCCGGCTCTTTCGTACCCAGTAAACGGCCGCTTCTTCCTCCTTCGGCTGACGCTCGATGGTGTAACGATAGACGGTCGTGTAAGCTGGCATCTTCCCGTCTGTTCTCGAGACACACCGTCGGAGTCCGCCTCGCAAAAAACTCCTGCTACCCTCTGCTTTTTCTCAAGAGTATGTCCTCCGCCGGGATGTCCCCGTTTGTCACCTTTTTCGCGACACCCTCGCTCTCGCAATCGCACCTCGTCCCTTGCTCGTTCGCGACTCTCGCGGGATTATTCGCGTTAAAGCACTACTGGCACGACGCGAGCGCGGGCGGCACTAACTCTGGCCTTTTCCACGCGGCTCTCTCTCTCTCTCTCTCTGTCTTTCTCTTCTCACTCTTTCTCTCTCTCTCTCTCTCTCTCTCCCGAACCTCTCGTGTCGAAAACGCCCGCGTTCTCGTCTACGTAAAGCTCTTGACATCGGAAGGGCCGCTGTTGGCGCTCATCTTCCAACTGGCGACCATTGTCGCAAGTGGAATGTTTAATGAAAAAGATGCTCCGAAAGCTCCGACACTGGAATTCGCAATTGAATCGGATAATTGACAGGATGGTTTGATGAAATCAAATCGATAAATAGGTGGACGAATAAATTTAATCGAGATCCATCTGCGAATAGCACGCAACCATACCATTAACAGACTGCTAAATTTATCTCTCGACGCATAAAAATAACAAAATACGCTGAGCCATAAATAGATTTTCTTATATCTTTGCAGAACTTGCGTGTCTATTTGCTTGTTTTTCAAATAATGAATTGAATTCTTTATGAAAAGTTCCAAAGAACTAATTTTAATTTTGACAGGCCCGGTTTTTCATGTCCTGTTAATTTGTAAATTAAACTGATGATAATTCGAAAATTGTGTTTTTCTATTCATGGTTAATCATTAAACTAATGTTTTTGGAAATTTTTAATGTTTAATGATTAACCCTGAATAGAAAAACGTAATTTTTACATTATTCTCAGGTTAAGCCTAAATTGCAAATTAACCAGAAAATTGGAGAATCGGGCCATAAAGAGAATATTAATAATTTTGGATTTTACGTTAAAATAATCATGGTCTAATTAACAGAATTTTTATGTTTAGAATATAGAATCTTTTATGCGGCATGTAAAAACTTGAATCTTACTCCGAGTCAAAATCGTTTTTACGTATGGTCTCGTTCGTTCGCAGCTACTAAGATTGCCCACAAATTGATTATTGCCCCATTGGAACGACCGTTTAAACGATCTCGAACATCGCGAAATCCCGCGGAGGGTGTTTTCTTTGGCGCAGCGAAATTCTACGCTGAGATTAACGAGAGCCACTCGAGAATGCGAACTCCAATTGTAATCTAAGAATCCGAGAAATCTCTCATTTTTTTCCCTTTTATTCATCATAAATACCAAACGTGGTGTATTTTCGTTAAACTGGCGTTCCTTCTCGGTCAAAAACACCCATCGTGAAATTCCCGACACTTTCATATTTTTTAGATTTAAATATTTTCAGAGACAACGTCTTCTCTCTCTCTCTTCTCTCTCTCTCTCTATTTGTGTGTCATTTTAGAGACGAGATTCCGAATAAATTACTTTCAATTTAAATCCTACATTTAAAAAGATGTAAATCTGCTACGGATTTTATTGTCTCCTTAAGGAGAGGGGGGAGGCAACTCATATTTACTTGATCGCTAATGAGATAGATCGCGACACGTGATCAAACCCCGCCAGCGGCGGAGAATAATGGGGCGTGCTGAGGAGAGAGAGCACGACGACGACGACGACGACGACGTCCTGAATCGCGGAGTATCGGATTGGGGCAGGCGGTTTCGATGCAAAAGCGATATTTATAGCGTGCGGCAACTGGCTGTACCGCGGCGGACTTTCCGGCATCGTGGCGGGGCCAACAAAAATATATTCACACTTCGGACTTCCCACGAATAAAGGCGCCTCCGTGCTCTCGCGCATGCTAGCCGAAACGACGCGCACGACGGATGCACACGGATGCATCCTGTCGCAGCTGGCAAACGGTGCAACATTGCGTGCGGGTGCATCGCGCGATCGCGTACACGCCGAGAAATGAACGCGCGACGACGCGCTCTCTTCTTCTTCTTTCCGAAGTCTCGTCGGTAAAAAACGCTTCTTATAAAACGACGTTTCGTCAAACGAGAGACATCTAGACGCGAAATCGCGATATCGCGAATCTCACCTTGTCGTTAGCAACTAATGAAAATTTATCCGCGCACCTCGTCTGTCTTTATAAATAGTTGGTTTAGTCATGGCGCGAGCGCGAACTGCAATCGCACGATTGTTGAGTGTTGAGAGAGAGAGAGAGAGAGAGAGAAAGTCATATTAGAAAGAAATAGAACTCCGCAGTACAAAATTGGTCTGTACTCGTTCAACGTTAGCACGTGGATCGTATTTCTTTCTTTCATCATCGATTAAACACGAAGAGGAACTTTCCTCTATTAAATAACTATTTACTAAATAAAATTATTATTTGTATATAGAGAAAAAAATTTCTTTAGATTTAGTATACGTGTTGGTTTGACTTGGATTTCTTTAATATAAACAATATAATTCGATATCAAATATCATTTTGTTCGAATGAAAATATTGTTGTTCTACTATAATAAACCATATTGCTTGATAAAAAATATTATTTTGAAGAAATGATATTTGGTTTTTAATTAAAAAAATTGATTTTACTATATATTAAATATATTGTTTCACTAAAACAAGAAATTCTTTAACATTTCTCTAACATAGTGTTATCCCAGCTGGCACAGTTAGTTTTATACACACGTTCTTGAAATGTATGTATGTAATACGATTATGAAACATTACATATGTTTGAAGAATGTATATGACTACTATGTACTACTAAACTAACATGTGCTACGTGGGTTCTTTCATATAATTTATTGTTCATGACAATCATTATAATGTTTGGGTGAAGACACAAAAGATATACGTTATCTGACGCAAAGATATTTATTGCTTGAGATAACAAACAATTCTGTTTATTGAATCAAACATTCGTTCATTCGCTTCATTCCAAAAGACAAATTTGTTTCAATTAAAGACATTTTATTATATCCAAAGAAATCTTTTTCTCCGTGTATATAATCAACGATTGATAATTATGAAAAAAAAAAAAGAAAAGAAAGAAGAAAGAAACACGATTGAGAGTAGTAGTTTTAGGCCTTAGTTTTGGACCTAGTTTTATTTCCTTAGTTCCACTTTTAATTTTACTTTTTCCGTTCATTTATTTTTTCAATTTTATTTCCCGTTTTCTCCCCTAGCTTTGCATTGCGTTGCGTCGTGTGCTGATTTCGTTGACGATTAATCGGAATTATCGTATCTCGTCCGTTCAAACAGACCGACCGTCGTGTTTCCCCATCGCGGAGGGTGGAGTATTACGTATTAAACGTGACAAATGTCCTGTCACCCTGCGCGAATGACGGCTGATCCGACGATGAGTTATTAAATTTCAAAGTGCAGCGGAGTATTTCGGAACGGGCTTGCGCGCGAGCTTGCCAGACGCCTTCGAGAATCGAGCACGCGCCGTTCGATGCCGCCTCTTATCACGGCAATTTGCGCCGTGTCTGTAAACCTTATATTACGCAGCACACATGTACACCGCGCTATTCCTCCCGAATTCGACTTTTTCTTTTTTTGTTTCACCGAACGACTGCCTCGTCGCTGGCGGATTGCTCCCGACTGCGCTCGACTTGCATCGATTCTTCCTCAGCGACGAGAGAAATCGACGTTTCCGCACACCGAGCTCGGCTTCGCGAGGTAATGGAAGACCGTTTCAGATGATCGACCGAAAGATCATCCCGCGCCGGAAGGTATTCTTGGATGCACGAAACATCCCGCCACGCTGATTTACGCGATTGTGCTCGTTGCGGCGTTTTGGCCGCGCGCGCTCTTTGGGAATCCCCCAGAGCCGCGGGCAATAAGATAAAGCGAAGAAAAAAAAATATTTATAGCGCGAGTGACAGGTAAGGAATTACGACGGGACAGTCTCGGAGCTCTAAACTTAGCGGCTGCTTTTGGCGTTCGCGCGAAATAGTGAGCGCGAAGCTGTCAGTTATAGGCGAACATTGTGGCGCCTGCCGCGATCGCCTGCGAGCTCGCAACCTCTTCTTTAAAATCGATTAAACTTGAACGACAAATATTTCTGAATTCTGAAAAAAAAAAACATCTTCCTCCTCCAACAATCGGGATCGGGAATTTAGAATCGCGCGATGTTGAGAAACAGAGTTCCACGTCACTCTTGCGAGAGATTCTTCGGGGTGTGTTTCTCCACAATCCCGTTTTTATTAATTAACTCGTTATAGTTAATTATCTTCAATACGATGAGAGAATACTACCGTTAGATGTCGGTTCACACGGCGGAACAAAGCCCGCTGTCTTCGCGCGGATCGACAAACTCCCCAGCGAGTTGGTACAATTGACACGCATAAATTCGATTTCGATGCATCTTAGAAGCTACAAATGCATTTCCGCTCCCATCTCGCGGTATTGTTCCTGCAATAGGGTGGCGTTTATCCCTGGATTTGGATATACTCGTTAACGCGAGCAGTGGATCTAAACTTTGTGGCACGTTTTACCGTGAAAACCGATAAATTTTTCTCAATAATCTCACAAAATTATTGCTTACTTTCTCTCTCTCTCCCCCTTTCCTTCTTTATTTCTCCAATAAAAGTAAGTTTATGCAAAATAAAACTTGGAGATCCCAACCTAATCAATTTTTTACACTTTTATACGCGAGTGAAAATTGAGAAATCAGATATTTTTACAGTCTAATAAAGATAACTGGATGGAAAGAAAGTGTTTATTATTTAAATGCAAAGAAATAAAATAATATTTGGAATACCTGCGACAGGTACGCTTTCTCTTCGCGGATCTCGTCCTGATGGTCGTGCGGCAAAATGATTGTGCTGCGAAGAGTATATCCGGAGGTTGGCGTCGGTGTAGGTGTGTAGGCGTATTCCTCGACCGAGGGCGGCGGTATTGGACTCTTCGGTAATTCCTGGGGGTGCTCCCTCTGTTCCTTATACCTGCGTGGAACAGTCGCGGAAATATCAGTAAGCTACCAGCATTGTAGGCATTCGTGTTGCGCGAGAGCGGCAGAATGCAAGAAGCTCCGCTTTCTTCGACGACCGCCTTTAAAGATGGGATATTTTATTCTATCACAAAAGAACATTGTTAAATGTAATTTGAAGAGAGGGTATAATTGAAACGACGAATGACTCGACGGTACCGCGAGTATTCGTTGAAGACAGGTGGCGAACAGCAATCTAAGTGAAAGATGTCTCATCTGGATATCAATCTAGATTATTGAAACACCAAAATAATCGCGGAGTATGTGTCAATGAAACGTGCGAAGATCAATTTCATATTCATTAAAGAGAGCGAGTTCCTCGAACTGCTCTCCCTTTAATGAATTTACCAAGAAATTTTAATTAAAGACAGTCGTCGAGGTGAGAACAGTGGGGTAGATTTTAACGCAGTGGTAAGGTGTCAATCGTGTTTTTTTCTCATCGAGAAAGAAAGAAAAACAATTAGAAGAGATAGGGGTGGGGAGTCACTAAGAGATTAATCGAAGGGGGCGTGTTAATGCAGCGTTACGCAACGGCGTTTGGCGATAGTATTTCTTTTTTTTGCGGCAATATCAGAAACACGCAGTATAATAGAGACGGTATTGCATTCTGACAGACTAGTGACCGCAGCCCTGTCGCCAATGATCGACCCGAAAATCGAGGGTGACTTGGTGGTAGTGTCGGTGATGCGTGATGTTGCGTTCGACGGCTCAGACCTTTCGACGACTAGCTTTATGGTTTCGGAGTTTTGTAGGAGATTCTGTGCGTCTACATGCCTCACGTCACGCGCGTCGTACTCATCGATCTTCTTGATCACGTCACCCCTCTGGAGCGCCTCGTTCTCCGACTGCAAGCAGAACATCGGTTCGATGCTATTAGTAACGAGAGACTACACGATTGTTATTATTATTATTATTATTATTGTTGTCATCATTGTTAATTTTAAGAGATTATTATTGTCGAGATATTTTGAAAGATTATTATCATTGTAATTCGGCAGGTCAGCCTCGAAGAAAACCTGGAGAAGAAATTAGATGAATGATAAACGAAATAAAATAATAAAAATCAAATTAAATAGAGACAAAGAGTAAAACTCAGTTGAACGGTGAACTGAAGATGAATTAAAAATTGAGATAAATAAAGAACTAAGGGACACGAATTGTACGGTTCTCAACTTTTACGCGATATGACGCGCGTTGACTCTCGTTATCGTCGAAGTGCGTTTTCCATCCGGTGCAACCGCGATGACGCCGTATCAAAGTCGCGGGTGGGCTAAATCAAATCGTCGATTTGAGAATTTCTTGGCAGCTGCCACGAGGTAGCTTCCCTCTTTCTTTTCCTCGCTCCCTCTATTTCAAATGTTCACGGGATTGTGTTACGTCTCTTCTACCATTGTTCGGCCGGTTCGCAAATGCCAGCGCGAAATCGCATCGAAGCCAAGTAAGTAGACGCCGAACGAACCGCTCGTCTCGCTAATTCGAGATGTTTCAATCTGACGGATAAGAGTCGTTACTATCCGAAGGTAATGCTCGGGTCGCGATCAGTGAATTTTCTCGTACAACTGAGCGATTTAAGACAACGTTGAGGCCGAGTTTCAACCTTACACGTGAGGTCCACCAAGGACCTCGCTTCTGGACTTAAAAGAAATCCGATCTACCTCGTCAATTTAATCCGACACTCAATTATCGGCGAAATCAGGCTTTAACACGTCGACTGCCACGATGATCTCCATGTTGTCCTAAGCTTAATTGAAGTTTAAATAACCGAAGTCACGATAAACGTATACCCAATACTTGACGCATACATTCGTTACTGTCCGGAAACAACGCTCGGGCCGCAATTAGCGAATCTCCTCATTTTGAGTCAGTCTCAAAAAGGAACACTTTTTTCGGCGAGTTTCGCAACGCTTGTATCCAATAGAAAAGTGTATCTCCTGAGAACTACTAAAAAACGAAATCTTCTACTGGGCACGAGATGCGTTTCGAAACTTATTTGAAAAAAAGTGTTGCTTTTCGTGACCATACAACTGAGGCCCAAACTTCGATCAAACTAAACAACGATTAATTTACAGAGTTGCGGCTAAAATTTCGAACTCTTCTCTCTCGATTTCTTCTGCAAGAGAAACTTCAGTTGACGATCTTGCTAATTAATCGTCGCTTAGCTTAGTCGGAGTTTGATGTAACCAGGCGACTAAGCGATTTAAAACAACCCGGGTAGCACATGTTAGTTTCACACACATTCTTTAAACATATAACAACGTTTCATAATCGTGTTACATACGTTCGAAAAACATATATGAAACTAACTGTGCAACCCGGGAACGTTGGACGGGTTTCAACCTGACACATGAGAGGTCCGCCACGGACCCTGCTGCTGGACCTAAGAGAAATTTTAACTACGCCATCGATTTGATCCGACGATCAAACGGTGACGTCGAGCATCATTAGCGCATCGATTGCCATGATGACTTCCACGGATCGTCGTTCTAAGCTTAAAGCTAGGTTTAAATAGCAGACGTTACGGTAAACGTATGCAATTCCCGGACGCACACGTTCGTCGAGCAATTTCCTCAGCTCCCCGTCGACCGCATATTCAACTCGTCATGTACAATCGGTCAACCAATTGGCGCGTAAATTCGCGGCAGTGATAAAACGCCGGCCACCGATGATCTCCGTTGGCAGTCAACGTGTCGGGGGCGCAGTCGGAGGGGGTGAACGACTCACGCGGGTGACGACGATCGGTGCGCCCAGATCAGCACCCCCGGCGATTCTAATGCCCCAAGGCCTGCCGGTGCTGGATCTCTTGAGCTTCACGATCACCGTGTGCCTTCTCGTCATGCTCTAGACCAGATGTGGCTCCAGCCAGCAGCAGCAGCAACCACCCACCACCACCCACCACTGACAACAACAACAATAACAACAACGGGAACAACCGGAGAAGAGGCACAGTAACAACGACCGCGGGGCGCACTGCGAGACCAAAGCGAAGAAGGAAAGAGAGAAAGAATGAATGAAGGCAAAAACAAAGGGGAACCGATCGCTCGAGATCGATTCGCGCGGAAGGAGTGAGAGAGAGAGAGAGAGAGATCTCGCACGCGCTCGCGAGCCGGCGAGCGATGGATCCCGGGTCGCACTGCTCACTGAGGGGTAGGCTGCAGCTGCACTTGCTCGCGACTATGCCGACTTTGACAGAGCCCTGCGAGAGTTGCCCAACTCTCAAACAGACCGCACCGCCCGCCGCCAACGCCGGCGGCGGCGGCTGGTTGTCCCTGCTATTCTGGCCCCATTTCGAATTGGCATACTGCGCCGACGTATTGTTCTGGCCTGCACTCATTTCTCTTTGGTATTTATCGCGGACGCGTACGCGTGAAATCGCGCGTGCGAGAGACACCGCGCGCGGCGCCGTCAGCGAAGGACACGCCGCGGGAGGGATCCTTGAAGGTGCGGGTGTATCGACATCGCGCACCCGCGCGACCGACCTAGCCGAGCTTGTGAAATCATTATTAAGGGTCTATAAGCGCCGCAGATGCAGCCGCACCGGTGCAGAGCGAAGCAAGTTTGTCGGTTGCATATTGTTCTGAAGTAGATAGATATGTGACGGATATTTTTGTAAAATTCTCGCGGTAACTCAAAGATTACGAAGATATCATTGGGATTATAAAATATATTATTGGTATTCTTCTCTATTTTTTCCCTTAAAAACTTTAAGTAAGAGATTACGAACAGCTGTGGAATTATTATAAAAAGAAAATACTCATAAAACCCATACTAAAGAGAAACACTTGATACTTTCTCTCACTCTCGCGTTTCTCCTCATCTTCGAATAGTTACGCAATAGTAATCAATTAAAGTGGAACGCGATAAAATAATCGACACAATGCAATTTAATGCAGTAACATTCAAATATACGGAATGATAATATACAGTGGTGACAATATATGGGGAGGAATCAAGGTGAAGAAATTAATTTCCACGATTGTTCATGCAAAATAACATAACTTTATTGACACAATTCCGGAAATATTTCTTAGAACACTTGTTTCTTCAAAATCCATCATGAATGGGGCAGACGTATATCCACGAAAGAGAACACAACGAGCAGACATTTTTCATCGCACCAAATTCCGTATAACAGATTCCTCATTTATTAATTTAATATGAAATTATTAAAAATAATTTTCTAGTACATATTGACTACAAATTCAACTTGGTACAACTATTTTATTTCCAATGTTGAATACTACTCCAATAATACTATTCCAACAACGTTACCGATCAAGTTATTATTTCAATATGAGATATTACGTTGTGTTATCTAATTAATTGTATTAATATAAATTGCTTAATCAAACATGAACTTAATTAATATCGACCGTCGAATCTTTCGTATAAGAAAAATGACGGTTGAACCCATCAAAGAATTTGTCATTAATAATTGACGAAGATGGGAGGTTTAATCAACAGATAATCAGGCTGTAAGTCATACGAATGGGTGAGACTGAAGGGCGACTTCCTGGTCGACGAATACTTACATAGGTCTCGTAAAAGTTGCCTATGGAGAACTTGAGAGCCATCCTCGGTCTGTAAAAATCCATTTGCTCAGCCTTCTCTCAGCTCCTTCCTGGTGATGATCGCTCTGCCGCCTATCACGGATGACGGAGAACTTCTCCCCTATATGAACTGGTTCGATGTAATTAGTTTGGCTGCACTGTCATTAACAGAGACTAGATCTGAGCTTCGAAAAGAGAGAGAGAGAGAGAGAGAGAGAGAGAGAAAGCGTGCGAGGAAGAGAAGATAAGAAAACGCGCGTATATATATGTGTTAAGACTTAAATTAGCAACCTATAGCGCGAAAGGTTAGTTAATTGCAATCTCCGCTTAGGCCGCTCTAGTGACTCAATTATCTCAATTTGTATTATCCATACATATCGCTGGTACGCGATATGAAAGATCAATAGTACGCAGTAGTGCTGATCTATTAATCCACCGACTGACTGAGTCGATCGCTGATAATCCTTGAAGAGGATCACTTCAAGAAACTAGCCTGGCCCAATCTCTGTGAATACGTATATTTTGTAAAATTAGAGGCTTGCAAAATCATTAAACTTAACAAGAACACATACAGGTCGTTTTTGTTTATAAAATGTACCATGTTTATCTGTTTTTGCATAGTACATGATATACACATTTTTTAAACGTATAAAATAACAATATGTGTGTGTGTGTGTGTGTGTGTGTGTGTGTGTGTGTGTAAAAAATGTTAGAAGAATGTATAAAGGATTAACTTTATAATCATCATTTATTAGCTGCTTCGTAATAAACAAAGCAGCTAATAAATGAACAAAAAAACTATAAAAAATATATAATAACTATCGGAACATCACCAATCAGTATAAAAATATAGAGATGTAAATATCATTATTAGAGTTCCATAAGTTATTTTTCATAGCGGTTTGTATACTAATAGCCATTGTCTAATAGCTGTTAGCCCTTATGACAGATCTTTTTAAAACAAGTTTTACCCAACTATGATATATCACCACTGGTAGGTCACATATAGAAAACTCCATTAACGTAACTCTATTCTCTAGGCACAGAAACGTGGAAAATTTCCAATCACGCGCATTATTTTTGAATATTTACGCATCACAACTGCTGCCTCGAAGCATCGTTGCCGATTTATCAATAACTAACAGTCATCATGCATGAATATTTGGACATAACGTGCCTGATTGGAGATTTTCGATGTCACTATGCCTAGGGAATGAAGCTACATTAATGGAGTCTTTTGGTTTAAGTATATTTTGACCTGAATAATTAAAATATGCGGATTGACAGCAGCTCTCGTCATTTTTCTACTGGAGATATTCTTCGGTGATTGCACGGGCGATGACCAAACGTCGTACTTCGTTGGTGCCCGCACCGATGTCGTATAGTTTCGCGTCTCGCAGCAACCGTCCTACCGGGTAATCATTGGTATAACCATTTCCGCCTAGTGTGACAGAAAAAAAACAGAGAATGTAAGTGAAAGTCTACTGAAGGAATACGAATACCTTCACCGAAAACGGTTTTAAATATAATGACATAGTAAACGCATAAAGGTCTCCATCAAATTGTTCCATGAAAAATTTACCAAGTATTTGCATGGCGTCCAATGCCCCTTTTACAGCGTTCTCACTGTTATAAAGGAGCGCTGAGGCGCAATCCTTGCGGTTTCTCTGACCGTTGTCGCAGGATTTCGCGATGGTGTAAAGGTAAGTCTTGCCCGTGCACAGATTTGTATACATATTCGCTAACTTCGACTAAAACGTAATGACGCCACTTTAGTCAATTGAGATCAATCGAGATTACGGAACATTGCGAATTAAACAACGCTCCGACGATCTTACCTGTATCATTTGAAATTGTGCAATAGGTTGGTTGAATTGCTTCCTCGTATGAGCGTATTCAAAAGCGACGTCGCAACAAGACTGTAGGACTCTGGAAATTACGTTCATATTACATAACATCAGATGCGTGAACCTAATAATCGAATCGAAAACTATCCTCTCTCTTTCTCCCCCTCCCTCCCCTCCTCCTCTCTCTCTCTCTCCCTCTTTACGTTTTACGAGAAACAGAGAGAGTGAGAGAAGAGAGAGAGAGAATCATTAACAATTCTGTCTTTAGTACCGAGACGCCTCATCCTTTCGTTGAAAAGCGAGAAATAGATTATTCAAGTAAAATTCTGTTATTTGCACGTTTCGTTTAATTTGAATTAAATGCTCACCCTAATGGGCCAGCGGCCAATATCAGTCGTTCATAGTCCAATCCACTGAAGAGTACATAAACGCCCTTGTTGACTTCTCCCAATATGTTTGCGACTGTAACGAAAATTTATAAACTTACCAAAAAATGTTTCAAAAATCAACGCTGTAACGGCTATTGGATATGCAAGTTATACCACAGGGGTAGACCAACAATTCAACAGGGTTATAAATATTCAAAAAATGAAGATTATGAGAACCGACTCTCTCTTTATCTTCATTCATCTCTATAACTAAACCGTAAATGACACATGTTTATTTAATATTAAACATGTATCTTACCATATATATTATATATATAAAATTAGTTCTCCAAGCTTAATTTGCTTCTCGAGTTAATACTTTGTCCTTTATTTGTTTTCGTGAACATTCAGTTCACATTAGTTTATTCTTTGAGGAAAAGGTACGACCTGAAAGTGTTGACTTTTAGAAAAAAACCAAGAAGAACGCGGCATCAACACAGAAGCCAAAAATATAGCCATATCGCGAAAGCTTAAAATATAGTTTTCCAACTTAAACGACCAAACTGTGTCAATATACATATATATATATTCAACAAATAGAATTCTCTCTTTATTTCTACACCGAGATTTTTCGTCGGAGCGTCTTTTTACCTGGAACTTTGCAATCTTCAAAAATCAATTCCGACGTGTTGGAGCCGCGCATTCCCACTTTGTCTAGCTTCTGCCCTGTGCTGAAACCCTCCATTCCGCGTTCCACAATGAAAGCGGTGATGCCATGCTGTGGTTTATCCGCGTTTAGATCGGTCTTCGCGTAGACAATCAACGTTTCCGCATCTGGGCCGTTGGTGATCCAGAATTTATTCCCGTTCAACACATAATAGTCGCCTTTCTTCTCAGCTTTTAGTTTCATGGAGACAACGTCAGAGCCGGCTTCTGACTCTGACATTGCCAAAGCGCCAAAGTGCTCACCGCTACACATCTGAAATTTCGTATATCACAAATCATTCATGTAACTTGATGAGTTTGTGAGCATAGAAGAAAAGAATATATTATTAAGTTAGATACATATATAAGATATTGTATATTTATAAATGAGTTACCTTGGGCAAGTATTTGTGCTTCTGCTCTTCCGTGCCATTTCTGTGGATCTGGTTCATGCAGAGATTTGAATGTGCACCATAACTCAACCCAATAGCAGCTGATGCCCTGCTTATTTCTTCTATAATAATTACATGATCAAGGTATGTACCACCTGTGCCACCATACTCTGTCTTGATCGTAACGCCCAACAAGCCCAATTTGCCCAATTTTTGCCAAAACTCCTATATCGTTCATATCAAATAGTTAAGAATAATTCTTTTTATAAGATTTGATTTCTGATATAACATAAAATGTTTTAAGTTTTTAAAATTCTCTTTATAATTTTTACAAATTAAGATTGCTCCTTACATTATAAGCATTTTTTTATTAAAAAAAACACTCACTTTCAACTCATCGAAATTATTCTTCTTGTCGATTTCGGCAGCTTTGGGAGCCAATTCCTTTTGGACAAGATTGAAAACCATCGAGCGAAGCTAAATGAAAATTTCTTGATTATTAAGTGTTAAGATTTTCAAACATGAAAAAAAGAAAATATATATAATAATATGTAAAGGCAAATGTAATAATAAAATATTAAAAAGTCTATGTGAAAATAATGTTAATATAATTAAACATCCTATTGTTGTTCTTTCTATAGTTGTTATTATTTTATTATTATACAATATTCGGAATAACTCGGGAAAAATATTATACATAAAATTATATATAATTATATATATCTACACAAAATAAAAATACTCTTGAGTGAAAAGCGAAAGAAATGTTTTGATTGAATTAAGTGTTTACACATCATCGACAGCCATAAACGTTAGCATTTATTTCAATTACATTCGTATAACAGTATAAATATTTTTTAGATGTAGGATATATATAATTATATATATAATTATATATATATATATGATCATATATATAGACATATATAGACAAAATTCATGTATAATCATTTTTTTCCGGGAATTTCTATGCAAAAAATATATTATTGAATTGTTAGGAATTGGATTCTCAATTCATATCTGGACCTCAATTCATATCTCAAAAAATTCGCGGATCCGTAGATAACTCGAACTTCAAGTGTGACATTTATCCGTTGCCCGAATAATCGGGTATCAAAATAACGTCAGATCCGAATGAACTTTGAAGCTCTACCACTATATATAGAACAATCATATTTTATGTTTTGTCACGACCCGGTCGGTAATGTCAATGCGAAGTAATGATTGGATAAGTCGGGATTAAAGATGAAAGATTGCAAATTAAACGTTCTGCTGAACGCGGCTATTGCTTATATATGTAATATTACTATATAGCCGGTCGTCCTATGCTACTTATAAGTAACTGTCTCAAAAACAAAGACAGAAGATTATATAATTAAATATATATATATATATTTAATTATGTATATATATATATATATATATATATCTCGCTTAATATTCCCACACTGTGGTTATGAGACAAAACTTTTCTGATCCTGGTCATATAGAAGTATTATATATATGATATTACTAACCTCTTTCTGTTCATCACTCAATCCAAACAGATCGTCATTTATCTTATAATATTGTGAAAGACATCTCACTGTAACTTTATTAGCACAATTTGCGAGATTCACAATGTGTCGCAAATTGACAAAAGAACGTGCCAGATTCATTTTATTTGGTGATCAATACACTAATCGATGTCACTTTTAAATATTCCACGTGTCACCTGCCTGATAAGATAAAGGTCTCTTCATAAAATATATGTTTTTTATTGAATGCAAAAAATAAAATATTCCATATGGATAAAAATAATGAAAATACTTACAGCGATCGTCGTTCAAGAAATTTAAAGTATGCACGATAGTAAAAATAAGTTAATTGGAATATCAATATTTAATATATAATATTAATATTTAATGTTACTTTTACGATAATATACTGCAGAATAGACACTAGGTTTTCGATGTTTCGACATGATTAAAGTTGCGTTCAGTTTAAAAAATTAGAGACTTCACTTTGCTCTGATCCAGTCGAAAGTTGTGAAAGGTATTTCATTGGTTATTATCTTACATATTATCTTAAGATAATTTCAGAGCAAACCGATGTTCAGCAGAACGTTTAGTTTGCAACTGTTGGGAGTTTCTTGTGCTGACATTGGATTATTCCTGTAGATAGAATCTAAAAGCATAATCTAATCTCAGTTTAGAAAACTTCCAACAGTTGCAGATTAAACGTTCTGTTGAACGTGACCAATGTCTTCGATTTGCAAAAACTAACACATCTCGTATCGACGTTGTGACCAGATGTCACTAGCTTAGTGAAATAATCAACGTTTAATCCCGCCGAACCTTGAGAAGGAAAGTTCCCCACGGATTCCGTTGCCCGTTCACGGTCGCCAGGGCGTTATTTTTGAGAGCTTTGCCCAAGCTCCAGGCCAGGGAAGCTGGACCGGCCAAGTCTCCCCAGATACGCCTTTACTGATAGGGGATATATAGAGGGATTCCCTCCCTGCTAAAGTTGTCGTCCCCGAAGAGATGTTCGGGTTACCGGACGCTCGCCTCAGACACTGGGTATGGGGATAGGGAAATACGAAAAATTGAACACGTACCTCGTGAGAGTATCGAAGATGAAGTCTATTTAAAAAAAAAAAATGAAGTAATAACCAAATTTACTGGTCTATAAATCCTATGAGCTTAATAAACGAATCTTATGTAACTAGTTTTCTGATCTCACGCGGTCTAAGCCGTAAAATTACACATATATGTAAAACATAATTTCTCTACGGACCGCTACGCCGAATAAATAAAATTATTATCCCCACGCGTCGTAGTTCGGGGATTTCTTGACGTTTATATATCTATCCCGACGCAAGACTGTCGTCGCGAACACGTCGGGACCCGATCGGACGCGCACGGCGGAATGACGCAACATGCGTCGCCTACCGTACCGGGTAGCCCTTTAATCCCGTCGACGATGGGACTCTTTCTCTCTTTTAAAACTTGGTTGTACAGTTCCGACCACCGGTGCCGCGTTCCGAGCCGAATTTTACATTGGATGCCTCGGTTCCCAGACGGGAAGTCTCTGTTTTACGGAAAGTTACGAAGGGGAACAGTGGCAATTTTTCAGCGCACTTACCGTCGCCAGGCGATCGGTCGTTTCCCCGCGTCTCTCTGGGCCTCCACCAGGAGATTTGCACCAGGGCATCTTCGTCAGCTTCCTCCTGCGTCAGCAACTTCTCCAGTGTCACCTCATCTGCGCAATTCTCCGCTCTTTTTCCCCAATGTACGTCCTCTCGCTTCCCGTTACTGCGCGCCTTTCCTTCTTCTTGCGTTTTCAAATATTCTTCCCCCTCCGCGACGCTTCCCGAATCGCCGACGGCCTCCGCCAATCATCATCGCCCCTCGCATTCGTATTCATTTCTTTCGGTGACCTTCCTCTTCTTTTGTTTCGCCGCTCCTCTCTCCGCGGCTGGTCTTCCGGTTGCAACGTATCAAGGTTTCTGCCCACAGAATGCGGAAATGTTTGTCGCGTGGCAAGTAATGACGCGGCCAATAAACTTTTAGTTCTCGTGGAAAAATGGCATGATGATGAAACTAGCTACCGCTGGTGTCAGTTCTTGCCGCGCGGCAAGCGTTACCGCGTCCTGTGGGCAGAAACCACTAACCCGTCAGTTCCCAACGCACCCTCCAGGTGACACAACAATAGGTCTGTTCGTTTTCGCTGCACCGTTGAACTAGTGCAATAAGTTGAAGTGAGAAAATATATACTTGTCTCGCTTCAATTAATTGCACTAGTTCAACGGTGTTTCAAAATAAGTCCGGACGTTACAGTATCTAAACTGAACATTCAAGATACGTTGGTTAGCAGTGTTATTTCGATGGTTTATAAGTCAAAAATATTAGGTCTGTTCGTTTTCGCACCGTATCAAACCTTGATTTTTGACTTATAAACCATCGAAATAACACTGCTAACCAACGTATCTTGAATGTTCAGTTTAGATACTGTAACGTCCGGACTTATTTTGAAACACCGTTGAACTAGTGCAATTAATTGAAGCGAGACAAGTATATATTTTCTCACTTCAACTTATTGCACTAGTTCAACGGTGCAGCGAAAACGAACAGACCTATTGTTGTGTCACCTGGAGGGTGCGTTGGGAACTGACGGGTTAGTGGTTTCTGCCCACAGGACGCGGTAACGCTTGCCGCGCGGCAAGAACTGACACCAGCGGTAGCTAGTTTCATCATCATGCCATTTTTCCACGAGAACTAAAAGTTTATTGGCCGCGTCATTACTTGCCACGCGACAAACATTTCCGCATTCTGTGGNAACCGACGTGTTGTAAAAGAGTCTTAAAATCGATGGATCAACTATAGACAAGAGATAACCGTAATCTCTCAATGCGATAAGGCATCCCGTTGCTAACATAAACAGGAGCATGAAACCTAAATCCAAGCATCACTCAGGACCGATGCGGCCATATCATACCGATGGAATGAATTTCTTCCATCTCCACGACTCCATCAGTCAACCAGAAAACGACTCTCAGCGACAAAGCAACGTATAATAAAGCGCGCATTCGTTGAGAAGGCGATTCTTTTCTCGTAATTAGCTTTTGGTACTTGTGTACTTATATACTTTGGAATATATTAGTCATAAAATCCGACTGTGTAGCAATTATTTTCTTCTACCCCTCATTTCTCGGATGTTGCGAAATCGCGGACCGCATCATCATCTCACGCAGCGCCGGAACATCCGAGACCGAGGCAGGAGAACAAGCGGCTCTGATTTCTCACCAGATTCATCGATCGTTTCGCCAGACTCCGGAGACCCAGGGTTAAACTCAGTGAAAAGCAGAGTGACCTAAAAAGCGGAGGTCATCACTCTGTTTTGACCGTCCACGTAAAGTCACTGATTTTACTACTTTCAAATTTCCCTATATAGTTATCTATCGTGGACGTAACAATACTCATCATCATTCATGGCCAACATCTCAATGTCTGAGAGAGACTAGGCCCTCCCCCCCTACTTCTTTTCTCAACCTTTGCATATGCATGGGTGCGCACACAGATCGTACACATGCATATGGGACCTACAGTTTAACGCCGGTTCCGAACGGCAAAGTTGCAGAGAGAAGTTTTCTTGGCATGAGTTATAACTCTTGGTAGTTTGCCAGACCACCGAAGAGGAGCTACAAGCGTATGAAAAATTTTTCTTTGGTTCTGCCGGGGAGCGAACCCGGGACCTCTAGCGTAATAGACTAGTGCGCTGTATACCATACCACGCTCACGCTTTCGGTTTAGGTACTAGTGACTTTAGAACAAGTTATCAACACTGAATAAAAGCGATACATAAGCGAAAAATAAATAAATAAATAAATTCTGAAAAACTCAAAACCTATAAATTTGGTTTCCTTAGGTTCCAAAACATGAGATTGCCTAAGAGGCAACAGAAATTTGTGGTTTCAATTCATTTGGGAACTGACGGGTTAATATCGAGTATTATATGATTATTTATCAATATCGACTGTTTAGTATTTAAATCTTTATAATGCATAAAATATTTGCTATTGCATATTTTATGCAATAGCAAATAACCGTGTGTTGCCCGATCTCATTATTGAAAAAAGGCCCACCCATTGTCGTTAATAATCTTTTTGGAATTAAACAATTTGAAAAAAAAAATGTTTTGACTTGCCTCTCAATAAAGTCCTAGGCATAAAGCCCGTACCAGAAGGGTTATTAATTCGGGTCTACAATAGGTATATTCGGGTGTATTCAGGTGTACAATAGATGTAAGCCTTGAACCCTAGGAAATTGACCAATCATAATCAATAATTTTCCTTATATTCGGCCGTGATTGGCCAATTTCTTGTGGCTTAAAGTTTACCACGCTTGTTGTAGATTTGATCCTAAACCCGTATCAAACTACGGATTGAAGATTGAGATTGAATTAAAGTTTGACCAATCAGTGCAAGGTTCATTAAATTTCATCAAATCTGAATTTAGTTAGTTTTGTACTGATTGGTCAAATTCAATCTCAAATCTCAATTTCTAATCCGTAGTCCAATACGGGTTTTGGTCTACGACAGGTGTTTAAAGACGAATAATCGTCAAGATAACATCAGATTCGAATGAACTTTAAAGCTGTGTTCGTCGTTGGTTGATCACCTTGGTTGATCACCTGAACATTCTCGAACGCGATGCACACCATTCTCTTCACGGGTGCACCCGAGTGAAGTTTTCCGACGCAGCTTTAGTCGAATCATTCAGCTGAGAAGAGTAGGGTGATATTGTAAATCCGGACTAACTATTATATCCGGATGTACTATTAAAAATTCAGCAACCACATGTATGTAGGGCCGTAACAAGCGCGTTTGAGAGAATGAGATGAACAAGTAGAAAAATATTAATTTTCAACGATAAATATTAACTTTTAACGCTGCATTGTTTTTATTACGGTCCAGAATGGACAATAATACGAAGGGGAACATGGACGCAGGAAAGAAAAGTACACGCGAGACTACGTTTCCACTCAAGGTATGTATACGTACGAAATTATCTATTTACATTGTAATACTTATGTACAAAGTATCTTTTCACGCGGAACTTGTAAATATGTTTCTTTGCAAAATGAAGAGAGAAAGAGATGGTAGAATTATGAGTAATTATTGTTATTATTATTGGTATAGGTCTACGTTTTGGTGGTTATTATTAATGGTCCACATTTGGACCAAACCAAAAATAGAAGATATTGCAGAATATCTTTACTTGAATGAATATCTTTATTCGAAAGAGATATATCTTTAAACGCTTTTTAGAGTTTTTTTACTTCGCTATCAACGTGTTCAACTGTGACAATCTTAAACTATTTATTGTGTATTGTTTTGATTAATATAAATTATGTTATTAGAACAAATGGAAATTAGTACCAGAATTTTTGAAGGATAGAGGCTTAGTGAAACATCACATTGATTCCTTCAATTATTTCATCAGTGAAGATATAAAAAAAATTGTCAAGGCAAATGAGGTGGTATATAGTGATGCAGATCCACTTTTTTACATAAGGTAAGATCTATGATTGTTATATCGTTTTAAGAAATACAAATATCTTTATGTAACAACGAGATATCTTGCGGGAGGTTTACTTGATTTAATAATCTTCCTTTCCAGATATTTAGATATACGTGTAGGTGACCCTGAGTTTGATGAAACGCTCAATGACATCCAACGAAAGCCTTATCCACACGAATGTCGCTTAAGAGATTTAACTTATGCCGCTCCTATCATAGTAGATGTACAATATATCAGGGAAAACCAAGCCATAATAAAAAAAAATATAACAATTGGAAGGTGCGTGATAATTGGAAGGATAAAATAAATACACAGTAGTAACGATTGCTAATAAATGTTATATATGTGATAATTGCAGGATGCCGATTATGCTACGTAGTGCGAATTGCAGACTGACTGGCCTGACAGCTTTTGAGTTGTCGAAGAGGGATGAGTGTCCTCACGATCCTGGCGGTTATTTTATCATAAAAGGACAAGAGAAAGTAATTTTGATACAGGAACAGATGGTTCGGAATAGAATACTTCTGGAGGAAGACAATAAAGGGAACATCGCCGCGTACTGCAACAGTTCTACTCACGAGAGAAAAACCAAGACCACTATCGTCGGGAAATCTGGCAGATATTACATGAAGCACAATATCTTCCAGGACGATATATTAGTGGTTGTGATTTTCAAAGCTATGGGCATACAGAGCGACCAGGATATCATGATGAGGATCGGCACCGAGCATGAGTATCAAAATAAATTTGAATGGAGCTTACGGGAGTGCCAGGACTTGAATATCTCCACGCAGACTCAAGCATTGATGTATCTCAATAACAAACGCACGCAGCCGAGGGTTTTTAACGCGGACGAAATGAAGGATGTGCTGGCCGCGAACGTGTTGTCCCACGTCCCGGTCAAGAATTTCAGCTTCCAGCGCAAGACGATCCATCTGGCATTCATGGTGAGAAGAGTGATGATGGCACAGTCTAACAAAAAGCTGCTCGACGACAGGGATTTCGTCGGGAACAAGCGTCTGGAGGTGGCTGGCTCTCTCCTATCTCTGATGTTCGAGGATCTGTTTAAACGATACAATTGGGAGTTGAAGCAGATCGCCGATAAGAACATCCCGAAGATCAAGGCGGCGCAATTCGACATAGTCAAGCACATGCGGCAAGATCAGATCACCAACGGCCTGGTCTTCGCTATATCGACCGGCAATTGGAAGATCAAGAGATTTAAGATGGAAAGGCAAGGTGCAACGCAGGTGTTGTCACGTTTATCTTACATCTCGGCAATCGGTATGATGACGCGAGTCCATTCGCAGTTTGAGAAAACCAGACAAGTGTCTGGGCCGCGTTCGTTACACCTGTCGCAATGGGGCATGCTGTGTCCGTCCGACACCCCCGAGGGAGAGTCCTGCGGCCTGGTGAAGAATCTCGCTCTGATGGCCCACATCACCACGGACGAGCCGGAGGATAACATCGTGTCGGTGTTATCCACTCTCGGTATAGACCTTATTAATATGCTCGGCAGACAGGAGATCAAGTACAAAGATATATGGCTGGTTCTCGTTAACGGAGTTATCCAAGGTGTCACGAAGCAGCACAAGTGGCTGGTATACTTTCTGAAGAAATTGCGCAGGCGAGGTCGCATCAGCAGTTACGTGTCGATCTACCTGCAGGACAATTGCAAGTGCGTTCACATCAGCACCGATGGCGGGAGGCTGTGCAGGCCGTACTTCATCGTGGAGAACGGACGACTCATCGTCACGGCGAAGGACATGAAATTGTTCGATAAAAAGATCCTGCAGTTCGAGGACTTCGTGACAATGGGTGGGTGATGCGAGGCTATGGATCTCTTTACGTTACCTCGTTTCTTTTCCCATGAATAACCTTCGCTTGATCCTCCCGTATTTTCTTCTCCTAGGCTTGATCGAGTACCTGGACGTCAACGAGGAGAACGACGCTCTCATCGCGCTCGGTGAAGAGGACATCAAAGCGACGACTACGCATATGGAGATCGAGACGTTCACGATCTTGGGTGTGTGCGCCGGTCTGATTCCGTACCCCCATCACAACCAAAGCCCGAGGAACACTTACCAATGCGCCATGGGTAGACAGGCCGCGGGCACGATAGGATACAACCAACGTAAACGCATGGACACGGTGATGTACAATCTGGTGTATCCGCAAACGCCTATAGTGAGGACGAAGACGTCCGGGATGATCAAATACAACGAGCTGCCGGCTGGCGAGAACGCGATTGTGGCTATAATGTCGTACGGCGGGTATGACATCGAGGACGCGCTCGTAGTCAACAAGGCCTCCCTCGACAGGGGATACGGAAGATGTTTAGTGTATCGAAGCACGAAGGCTGTCTTGAAGAGGTACCCCAATCAAACGTACGATAGAATCATGGGTCCATCGGTGGAGAGCAACACCAACAAGGTCGTGTGGAAGCACGATATCCTGGACGCCGACGGAATCGCAATGCCGGGCGAAAGAGCGGACGATAAAAAGGTATGCATCTCCTATTCAACAGAGTGCCTGTTACCTGGAAAACCTGGGTTTCTCTCGCGGGATTTACTCACACCTGGAGAGATCGCAGGGAATTCTCGGGGAATTTTAAGCGCACATTTTGTTTGCAAGCTATATTTATCTATATAGACAAATGGTGCGTGGTTGACTGAATTTTATCGCCCGGAAAATCAGAGAATTCCCCGAGCATTTTCTTCGGATTTGAGTAGACCACCCCTGTTCGGGTTTCGTTGTATCTGTACACGGCGTAACTGGGGATGCCCGTTGGATCTATCATTCGAATCGCACGATGTTTAGGTGCTGGTGAACAAATCGGTGCCGTCGCAATCGATCGATCCGGTAAACACCGGCGACGCTCCAGCGAGACCGCAATACCGCGAGGCAGAAGTATCCTACAAGGGTCTGGAGCCAGCGTATGTAGAGCAGTCCTTGTTGACTAGCAACGCCGATGACTCATTTCTGATAAAACTGCTGATGCGACAAACTCGGAGACCCGAAATCGGTGATAAACTAAGCAGCCGTCACGGGCAGAAAGGTGTCATCGGTAAGATCACCTGGATCTTTTCATTTCGTATGGACTGGCATATTAATAGCTTTAACGTACGAAGTTGTGCCTTTCTAATGCATTTCTCACGGGAAAAACTCGAATATAGATGTTTCGATGTCTCGATATATAAAAAGTCGTCTCTCGTTCAGGTTCAATCGTGGACCCGGAAGATCTGCCGTTCAACGATCAAGGCATAGTCCCCGATATAATTATGAACCCGCATGGTTTCCCGTCTAGAATGACAATCGGTAAATTGATAGAGATACTCGCAGGTAAAGTGGGCATTCTGAACGGTGAATTCCACGATGCAACAGGTACGTTTACGTAAGAAGAGAGTAGATCCGAGATAAGATCTATCGGCGAGACTCTGAATTTTTCACCGTGTTCTTCACCCCCTCCCCCCCAGCGTTCGGCGGTTCCAAAGTGACGGATCTCGCTGAGGAAATGCAGAAGCATGGTTACAACGCCTTGGGGAAAGATTGCTTCTACAGCGGCATGACCGGAGAACCGATGGAAGCTTACATATACACTGGAACGGTAAGTTCGTGAGGGCAGGATCATTCGAATCGAAATGTTTCCGAGAGAACAGTTCAGTTCCAAAAGTCTGCGAAATTGTCAGACACGCGTCTCTTCTCCACTTCCCGTCCTCTAACGAGTGACGAAAAAGTGCTTGTCGCCGGAAGATGTTTCAGTGTTCGGTTAGAAACAATTTGAAGCTAATGGTCTTCCCACCAGTTCATTCGATTGTAACGAACAGGCGGGCGGATAAACACGGTCGTGTTATACCCCGAATGACACATGAAATTTGACGTACAGGTTTATTACCAAAGATTGAAGCACATGGTACAGGACAAGATACACGCTCGTGCCAAAGGACCAAGAGTGGTGATGACTCGACAGCCGACAGAGGGACGTTCCAAGGACGGTGGTTTACGTTTCGGCGAGATGGAGCGCGATTGTCTGGTCGCTTACGGCGCCAGCATGATGCTGATAGAGAGGCTTATGTTGTCGAGCGATGGCGTCAAGGTCGACGTCTGTAACAACTGCGGGCTGATGGGTTATAGTGGTTGGTGCCAAGGCTGCCGTTCCAATTCCAATATATCCTCGGTCATGATGCCTTACGCGTGTAAACTGCTACTTCACGAGCTACAATCCATGAACATTGTGCCCCGTTTGAAACTAAGGGACTATCGCGAGAGAGGTCACACGGAGAAACGGAAATATAAATCCAAATGAAAGAAAGTTACGTGAAATATAAGTTAATAGTGTCAGTTTTGTATTATTCTGGAAGACAAATACATTGGTCTTGTGTTTTAATATTTAATCTTTAGGTAAATCTATATCCTTTCCTCGCGTCAATGTAAATGCGATATGTGCGGCTCAACAAGTGCACATTTAGTTTAGTTAAGCGTCATAAACGTTTTACATTCCATATAATACATATATATATAATATATTGTCCACAATTCTCTATAATAAAATATAATAAACAAATATAATTATGTATATATAAACGTGTGTGTTTGTGTGTGTATGTATAAACAGCTTTTGAACTTTTTCTTAACTTAATCTATCGCGCGTCAAAGGGGTTCTGCAATTAGACGGGTTTCAGGATTTTCAATATTGTTTTTGCTTTGTATCAGCCGTAACTCGATCTTTCTAGCAGGTTGTGATTCATCACTCGCATACGCTGTAAAGAATTGATTGTTAAATTATACCAGCCTGTTTCTCATGTGATCTATATATATACATAAATAGAACAAACTAATTTACTTTTTGAATATTCATAAGTATTAAGTAATACACTGTACAGAGAGTTTAGAGTTTTTTCCATGGCAATTTTAATGTCATTTTGTAAGTGTATATGTGCAAGAAATAGCGCAGCAAAGAGGTCTCCAGAGCCTGTGAAAGTTGCTGGTATTTTAGGAATGTCCATCTTAATTAACGTATCATCTGAAAAAAATTGTTATAATAAATTCCTAGTTGTTAAAAACTTAAGATTATTTTACAGTGCATAATCAACCTTTTGTAGCACTAACTACTGCTGTTAATTTGCTGTTAAGCTCGGTTGAAGATACAGCTATAGTTTGTGGCCCAATTTGATGCAATTCCTTTAATGCATTTTGCAGTTCACTCATACTGGTAATTTTTTTATCTGTTAATAATCTGAGAAAATAAATAAGAATAATATGTAAATGACTGTAAAGTAACTTTAAAAAAAGAATTTTAATAAAAGATAAGGGCCAATTTTTTTCCAAGTATTGTTGGCAGTGTTATAGTTGCAACAGTGATCAGTATATTGAAGATAACGATATAGAAATCAATGATACAATATATATTGGTACACATTAGTATCATACATACTCCAATTCAAATTGATTTGGTGTTAACACATCTGCCAATGGTATTATCTCCTCCTTATAAATTTTCTTCAGAGATTCAGGAACATACATCTTTCCATTGTCACCCATGACAGGATCACAAACTAGCAAAGAACAGACACAACCAAGATTAATCATGAGATCACCTAGAAAATTATTTGTTTTTTTATTTAAAAGATAATTTACCATAGATAAGATTTGGGTATTTGCGTTTTAATGTTGTAACCAGCAGCGATATTCTTTTTAGGAAAGAAGCTGAACCAACATAGCCAGTAAGTAGATATGTGTATTTATCCAAGTTATTCTGCGTAAGACCATCGACTAGGTCATCTAAGAATTGTTTTATCTTGAGAAAATCCTTATCATTAAAGAAACACGTTATATATAGCCTTACTTGGTATCATACCTAGATTTTTATCGTCAAGTATCTGGCCTTCAACGACTTTATAGCCGGTATGATTGGACAATTGTACGGAATTAATTGCATCAACTTCAAAGCCTAACAACTGTAAAAAATCGATCTCCTCAATCATACAATAATTTTACGTAAAAAAAAATTATCTCTTAAATTATCTTAACCACTTGCGCTACGATTTAACTTTCGGTTGCCGTGCTCTACAATATAACACGAACACGAATATAACACAAACTACAAGAATTTTCGTGTAAAAAAATCCGTACGACATACCGTATCGATTCTGAAATATTTCCAAGCTATCGATGACACTATGCGATGCCGTGCACTTTGAAACTGTAGCTCGAATAATGAACGATCTAATTGTTAGCCGACGTGACGGACACGTCATTTTTGTTTTTGTTTCTGCGATAAATGCCTATCGACGTGGCATACACATCGCTGGCGGTTTTGGAACGAAAGCATCTCGATGTGCGTGGTACCGTCTTTATAGCGCAAGTGGTTAAGGACCACATGGCAGATAATCAAAAGTGAGCATGAAAAAAATCTTAGGGAGGAAAAATATTACGTGTCGCACAGAAATAATTTATTTATTAATTATTATATAATTATGTATTTCATAAGATAACGAACTCATAACTGATAGAAAAATCTCAGATTTTTCCACAAGATTTTTACCTGCAACGGAAAAGTAGCGCTCTTATTCCCGACATATCCTGACACTACGTGACTCTGAATTGAAAGAATGCGTGGAGTTTTTGCGGAATACATGATGATTAATTTATATACTGAACTGTTAATATATTAATACTAGACTTAACTTTCAAACAACTTAACAGGACATCCACAATACTGCTCGATTTAGCGCATACGATGTCTTATATGCACTACAGACACGTATATACACCAACACCGTGTATGTCACAAATAGATGCCAGAAATAGACGTATTGGATAGAATTTTAGGATGTGATAACGTACACAACCGAAACCGTGCTTATACATGTGCATTCTATTCTTCGGCAGGCTTCGGATAGTAAAAGAGGACAGAGATAAAATAAAAATACCAATGTCTCTACAGGTATTTAACTATAGATATTCTATTTTGGTCTTTAATATTCGTATTTTGGTCTTTAATATTCGTATTTAAAGACCAAAATAGAATATCTATAGTTAGATACCTGTAGAGACATTGGTATTTTTATTTTATCTCTGTCCTCTTTTACTATCCGAAACCTGCCGAAGAATAGAATGCACATGTATATGCACGGTTTCGGTTGTGTACGTTATTTTATCTTGTGTTGTAATGCATATAAGTCATCGTATTATTAATATATATTAATATATATTTATATATATTAATAATACATATCAATATTTTATGTTTAAAAATTAAAGATTCGCATTTGAAAACCAAAATAACAGGAATGTCCATAGTAGGTATATACGTGTTCAGGCTCTGGTGTTTTGATTTACTATTTTCTTATCGAGCGAAAATTTACCATTTTCTTACCAAACATTTCTTACGACAACGAAACTTATTAACGTGACATTGCTTGCGTTTTTTCTCGTTGCCTGTTTGGCAAGAAAAATGAGAAAACATTAGCTGCGTTCAGCGAAGAAAACAGCTTCGTAACTGTTGTAACATTAATAAATCTGATTGGTGTATGTTCTTAATTTGGTTGAATGTAAGAACATATACCAATCAGATTCACGAATTTTACAATAGTTGCAAAACTGCTTTTTGAAAATAGCCGTTAGGGAGTTCTTGCAATACTTTCAGATACGGTAAACGCTACAATGCGTTCCGATATTCATGCCAGTATTGCGAATCTACAATTTGTGTCACATATCTATAGATTCGAAATGTTGCCAGTGAATATCGGAACGCATTTTAGCGTTCACCGTATCTGAAAAATGTTATTCCCGATCATTCCTGATGCAAAAACTCCCTATTACCTCTTATTATCCGAATTTAGTCGAAGTATGGAACACACGTGGAATGTATGTACATGGCTTTCGGTTGATGCGTTATTCCCTCCATTGCATTTCTGTGTGGTTACACGGCAATTTCTGTAATCACGTGCACACGTGCGAGCAATGATGTGCTGTCGTGGGGATTAAATGGGAATCGCGCACGCGCATTGAGTGAACGCTGCAAATTGTCACTAATGTATATATTTTCCTGAAATGTTAAGTCTACAATGAGAATTTAAGGCATAAGCCTTAAGAAATTGATCAATCACAATTCATTGTTCTTTTATAATTCGATTGATTATTCTTTTATAATTCGATTGATTTTATAATGTGATTGGTCAATTTCTTACAATTTAAGGCTTACTACACCTATTGTGGACCTAACTTTAGGTATTGTTGAACTCCCAGCGCGTAAGCATTGATCTATTCTTTATAGCTGAACTGCACTAATTCATGAAATTCACATAAACTAAAGCGTAAGAATTGTATATGCACATTTCACACATTTTGATACATATGTAAATTTCTTGACTAGTGCGACCAGTTCAGCTATAAAGAACAGACCACATATATACAGTGGTACACAGAAAGGTTGTTATACTTTCTTTTATGAGTTTCCCAATGCATCTCGTTAACCGACCAGTTGTCATATTATTAAATATATAAAAATTAAATATGTGTAAATTACAATGTAAATAGTATTAAATATAACTCTGTCAAGTCGCATAAGACACACTAATATTATCAAATAAACTCGAACGGCTAAAAATGGTGGATGGTATATCTTCTCTCGTCTACAATTTTTGTCTATGGTCGGGTGCATGGTGGTCACCTAACCTAAATATGTGCTCCTAATGATCGAGAATAATTTGTAGTAGTCGTTGACTTTTTCTCAATAACGCTCCTTCTCCCTTCTGTATTTGTTTATAACGTAAGTCAGATATTTTTTGCCGATCATGCCGATAACGCACAATCGTCGCGCGACTCAACGTACGGGAATTGACAGCGTACAACTGATCCCGGGCTTCGTTGATGATTATATAAATAATCGTTTTGCAGGCTGATGATAATGCTGCAGTTCAGCGCGTCCCTCTATTCTGCGACCGCCAGGCTCACGCCACGCTCGTCCTGGCGTTTCACCGCTCTCATAGCCAATAACTCCAGCACAGCGATCACCAGCGAGCAACCCGCTGCATCTATCAAGGTGAAGTGCGATTGACAATCATATTTCTCACTTGTTGCGTGCGAACTTTCATAATAGGAACAGCCAATTCCATGTGTACTCCATTGTTCAGGTAATCCTTTGACGGATAGGGTTATCAGTAGTTTGCTTTATTTGCAGGAAGACGAAGGCCCTAAGTATGCAAAGATGCAAAAGCATATTTTACAGAAAGAAGAGCAGCATAAGTTGAAGGAGATGGGATCCCAGATAAAAATTAATTTACCTGAAATTAGTGAAAACGACAAGTTCGTCGAAAAGTTTCAAACTGCTGAGTCTGTAAATGACTTGTTGGACATGGCAATGTTACCAAATCTCTCTGTACCTAATGCCTTGAAGCTTATATCACAAATAACGAATGAGATAAACAGTGGAAAATCACAAGTGACAAACATTGAGACTGATCAGAGGTTTGTTCACCTCAGAAAAATAGTTAAGACTAATGGCCAGATCAAATTTGATTCAGAAACATCTAACGATTATGACGATCTTTCAAAGTATTCTCAATTGTCCACACCTGCTATGATTGCTGTGAGTATTTAACAGTTATATGCCAACTTTCTATTCTGACATTGACATATTTTTCCTGCAGATAAGTATAGTAGTATATAATAATAAAGGTCTGTGTATATATAATTATAAAAAAGTTTCTTCAAATGTAAGACCCAGAAGATACATATATGTACATTAAGTTATTCTTAATAATTACATGAATATAAGCAGAAGGTAGATATAAGGAAATGCAAGTATAAAACAGGTGGAAGCAAAGAAAGAAAAATTTCGTACTAATTGCATATGGCATTTGATAATTAGAACTCAAGACAAAATTTACTGATATTTAAAAAATTATCTTTTCAAAGATGATAGCGTCATTGAGGGAACAAGGAAAAAGGAACACACCGCTACTAAGAATGCTGTCGTATAATATTGTCAAATACAATATGAAATTAAATGTGAAGCAGTGCGCAACTTTGTTGTACAGCATGGCTATATTGAATTTTCCAGATAAGGTATATACATACTTGAGTATGCATATATTGATAACGTGTGATTTCTAGTTTCCCATATACGATGATAATGATTAATATGAAGAATGATGTAACAGGTACTGTTAGAAAAAGTCATGGCCGACTTGCTACAATGTTTACCGACAAGCACCAACGCTGCTACAAATAAATATATCATAACATCGCTAGGATTTCTGCACTATAAGAACGAAGACGTGCTCGACGTGTTCTGCGACACGCTCTTCAACACATCGGTAGAATACAAATTGCATCATTACTCGTCGATTCTGCAAACGTTCGCGGCCTTGTGCTATAAATCGCAGAAGGCGAACACTTTTATCAAAGTACGTGAAGAGCCATCACGATGTTCTGTCTTTTGCTTATTATGTTAGACGCCTGACACTTGAACTCTCGTGAACATTTCATCAATTGTTGTTTATTCACCAGGATTTCGCGCAGCAAGTGAATCCGTTTCTTGTGTCCTCGGCGGAATGGTTGGACATTGTCTGGTCGTTAACGGTTCTGAACTTTGTGCAGCAACGGCAGGTCGAGTCTGTATTGCATTCTACGTTTACAACGAAGTTGAACGGTTCGTATTTACTGTAAATTTGTAATGCGTTACTACTACTTTACATTATTACGCTTCAGTGTATCAATGGCGTTAATTTAATCGCTGTCTTGCTTCAGACTCTTCCAAGCTAAATGTGTCGAAGAAATTAAAATTATTCAACATCAATGCCTTTGCGCAGTTTGGGATGAAAGACTACAAAGGTACTTATTCGGAAATATATTATTGGTGCCATACCTTCGATGGTTTCACGCGTCATCGTTTAAAATTACAGGGCCATTTTTGGACAAAGACTCTGCAATGTTCGTGGATATACCTTTAATTAGAGCAAAGTCGAAGCAAACGTACACAGATGCATTATCAGAGACACTGAAGAATTTGTTCCCATCACAGTCTCACTACAAAATCAATGTCGACACGAATATGGGATTTTTACTAGGTAATTGTTTTGACAATGTATTGAAGTGAATTTCAGATAAGCAGATGTATACGTTGTATCGATTTTCATGATCAAGTAACATTGTTCCCGATTATCGTAGATGCCGAGTATCGTATGGATGAAAAACACAAACCTATAGCGGTCGAAAATTGGAACGAACAGTCTAAAGATGTGAGGAGGTATGTTAGAAGTAATCAAGAAGCAGCCAGATACTATTATGTGCCATGAAAAACAATCTACAATTTGATAAAACTTTTAAGGCGCAGTATTTCCTCGTCTTCAAATATTAATCACATTCTAGCTTGAAAATATCTTGAAACGTAAATACAAATTTAACGATTAACATCTTGTATTTCAGGATAGGAATAGTGGTACACGACTACCATGATTATTGTCGAGGACAGAGCGATCTCTTAGGATCTGTATATTTATATACACAGCTATTAAAAGCCCAAGGATACGACCTTTTAACAATTTCATACGAAAATTTCAGTATACAAGACAAGCTCGAGAAGCGAATCAATTTCTTGAAACAATGTATGAGAAATGTACAGGAAAAGAAATCGACGTAGTAGTGAAATATTGGACTCAGTCTAAATTAAATAAATATGAAGAAAATGTATAAATAGATGTCATCTTCATTACTCCATACACAATATTTCCAGAATTGAAAATGTTGGAATATTGTTTACTGTATTATCATGTTGCGACTTATATTGGCACATTGTTATATCAATATAGCAAAAAAAAGCACAATGAGTGTGTTCTTCTTTTAAGTATAACTCCTTTATATTGGAACAATTACATTATTTACATTGAATAATATTTTATACTTTGTCACAATTACGAACAAACTACTTTAATCTGTATGTTGCACTAACACTTTGACAAGAATCACTGCGGTGGACGCCAAGGTTCAATTTTTGGTTTTGTAGTGCTATAGGGCATATATGCTTGATTCGTGCCGCTCAGATTCGGTGTATGGTCCATCATCCATTTGTGCTTAGGCCGAGATGGATCTTTATCTGGTGGCAGATCTGTCTTGTGGTGCAGCCAGCCGAACCATTCTGGTGGAACTTGAGAGCCATCATAATTAAGCCCAACTTTTTCATTGTATATCACCCATCTGTTACGACCTATGTGGAGAATAAATATAACAATATTATCACTCATATATTTCCTTAAAATATTTGTGAGAATCCTGAGTATTGATATAGTAAAGTTTTTACATATAATATCAGAGGTAGAACCTAAACAACTGTTGTAAATATGCACACATGTTAAAAGTGATTTGTATCAATAATCAACAGCTTACCTATAAAGTGTCGGTTATCCTGGTAATATCGATTACCATATTTATCTTCTCCGATCAAAGTGCCGCTCTTCAATTCATCCACCCTGATATACCGAATACCAAATTAAGGATAATTGTACTTATAATTAAGTTAACATGTAGCAATTCTATGTGATAAGTATCGTCTCTCACAGAACTTAAAATTGTGATATAATTCTTACAACTAAGATTGCAATGTCAAGTAAGGAGCTGATTACACAATACTAGAGGTGGTAAAAATATTATTAAACAATGTTCATTGTATTATTAATGCGATATAACGTATAACTATAGTAAAAGTAATATTAACCTGTATAACATTTTCAAGGATTTCCATAATCCGCCGTGATCGCGTATTGTACGAACTAATGTAACAAACTTGTCCATATTTGTTTGCGCGAATAAAGCGTGAAATTAAAGTCAATCCAAGTCAGTGCCACCAACGTTTGGATATCCTCGATATCTGCACTCGATTTCAATATGGCTTGAACATTTTTCTCAATGCATTTCGGAACGCAACTGATATCCAATAGCAGAATATATGCTTGATTAATTTTTAAAGAAGATAAATTTTCTTATTGGATATATATGTATCGGATGCGTTTTGGGATCGATAAAGTATTTGCACTTTCTATTTCCGAGTGTAGGATTCAGGTGTTGTAGGAAAAAAAGATGAAAGAGATGAAAAGTGCGCAAAGTGCAAGTTCAAAGTGCATCGCCTCTTGGGGTTATTTCAGACGTTTATAGGTTATTTCTGTCACGAGCCGGTCGAAAATGTTCGCGCACGATGTATTGCAACAATTTAATATATTATTTGCGTTATCGGGATAAATTTTCTCGTTGTGCCATTTTTTATTAAAACAATTGAGTAATCATTTAGGTTAAATTCCAAGTTCAATAAAGATGTTGTAACCTCATGCTGTAACCATGAACAAATTTTTCTCGTTAATTAAACAAAGCTTGCGTTTGCAACTGCGATGTATGAGCACGACTGCGAAACCAAGGCAGACACCGTCCGAATATTGTTTGCAGCTAGTTAGGTATTTGTTTCTGCTATGTTAAACTGTAAAAACTAATAAATAACAGTTGTATCGCATTGTGTTTCTTTAATCCATTAGCGGCCAGTGTCTCACTTATGAGATACTTTTTCATTGAGTGAAGTCACTTAATAAAATTTCACTCTTGTTTTCAGCATCTACAATTTTCAATTGTATTCACACCTTTGACAAAAATATTTCCAATATTAATCCAAGACCTTTAGGAAACAGAACAAACTGATCCTTCTATTAAAATTGTGAAATTATAGCCTTTAATGGGTTAACATATTGCTAACATACCAACGTGATAACATCTTGTCGATTTAACTGAGATATGTCACAATTATATTTCATTATGTATAATAGAAATCACTAAAAGTTGCACTCATATATACGGATCTTTCTAGGAAAAGCGACTATGAGAACTTTCTGTGTACGTTGTTACTCCCGCAGAGTATCAGATCAGCAGCTTTCGTGATACGTGCATTTAACGTTGAAGTGGCTCAAGTAGAGGATCAAGTGAGCGACAATAAAATCGGAGCTATGCGACTGCAGTTTTGGACTGATGCTCTGAACAACACTTATAATGATCACCCACCTAGAAGTCCAGTAGCAATGGAATTACACAGGGTAGAGGAGATTGTACAGCTTGTAGATTATGTTAACACATCAGCCTGGAACTAGTTTATCAACACCTGCAGACTTATAGCATATATAGAGTTGTGATATAACTGTTTACATATAACATCAATAAGTAGCTATAATATTGATATAATTATATTACAAATTAATTGTATACCATTCATATAAATGTTCCTGTAAATGCAGGTGTTTTGCCACACTGGTTTCAAGTTCTATCAGTGTAAATATAGTCATGCGTCTCAGGTCCGTTAGAACTTGTGAGTTGGGAGTCATAGCTGTTTCTCGCATTTTGCAGATTCTCCAGGAACACAAGTTATCCAAGCATTACTTCAAGCGTCTAATCGACGCTCGTTCAGACAAGTTAAGTAGTTCGATATTCGTAGATTTAGAGTCGCTCGAGAGATATTGCGACTACACGATGTCGTCGTTATATTATTTACTGTTAGAGGCTCAAGGCACAGCGAACGTAAACGCCGATCATGCGGCCAGTCATTTCGGCAAGGCGCATGGTCTGGTTACTTTGATTCGTTCCGTGCCGTATAACGCCCATAAAAAAGTTATGGTACTGCCGCAGGACGTCTTACTGAAAAACGGTGTCTCCTCTGAGTCGGTATTCCGAGGACAGCTGAGCACTGGATTCAAAGACGCAATATTCGATGTCGCTTCTTGCGCAAATCGACATCTGCAAATGGTATTTGCCAAGATGCTGAACTCAATGACAATTGTGCAGAATATAATTAAGTTGTCCTATCTATGTTATTTCATTTATGTAGTTGTGTATTTACAACTGCGAGAAGCACTGCTTAAGCTGTGGAAAAACATCCATTTTCATTTCCAATGACTGAATATATTTTCCAAATTAAATATTGTATATATTTGAATACTTAAAAAATCGCATTATTGAAGTTAAAATCATTTTTGATATATGCACAAGCTCTTCTCTGTTTCAGGCAATGTCACTTAAGAAAACGGCAGGAAAAGATCTCAACATGATATTTTTGCCAAGAGTCTGTGTAGAGAATTACTTAGAAGAACTGAGGAAAGCAGATTTTAACGTTTTCCACCCAGTACTGCAAAGGAGAAAAGGTTCTCTCCCATTACAACTGCTTTGGCGGAAAATATGGCCTTAGTGATTAAAGTTAGAGATATTTGTAAGATAATGTTTTATTTTTAACCTTCCTTTCAACGAAAGAAAAATTTCTTTAAATAATAAAATAATAATAAATTTTACAAAAGTCAACTGGGAAATGTACCTAGCAGGAAGGTAGGGTGTTCTTTGCCAAATATTTAAAAAGAAACAACTATATAATCATAATTATTTATGATTTTTTCCATTCTACGTTCACTATCATATCAAATGTCGCGCCTCGGTTGTTCACACATTAAAGCTGCGTTCGAAAGCTCCATCCTGAGGGTAAAGCAGGATGAGTAATGTTTAGGGCAGAATAAATAGGCGAGCTTTGATGACTCACATAGGTGATTGGCTAATTTAATATGCAATTTTCTAATTGGTGGTCCAGCGGAAAAACTCTAGATAGCGGCCGATTTAAGTGGATGTGTGCTATCGCACCTTCGTGCGCTAACGGGACCCTCCTTTCATTGGGCCATCGGCCGCATCGCGACATCCAATTCCGACGTATGATGTATTGTAGAACAGGCTTAAGTCTATATTAGATTACTGATGACTGTGAACGCCAATTCGACTGCTAAATCTTACAGACCAATCACCGTGAGGCACCAACTGGCTTGATTAGTCAATAAAAATTGGCACTCGGTAGTCTGATATGGGCTTTATGGCTCTGGGCTTTATGGATGCGATTCTGCAGCAGTTTTCTTCAAATGATAACAAAAAACCAATGCTGTCCGCAAATCGTAGTTCGTAGGCACAAAACTCGACATGTTTAAGGTTATAGAAAAATATACCGGTGTATGGAACTTGGGTTGTTGTGTGTTGAAAATCTTCGTCAGCTGTTAGAGGGAGATGATGGCGCTGCAGAAGCGGTCTTACGGTCCCTAAACTGATGGCTAGCACCATCTATAGAGAAATTCCGGTTTCATACTTCTACACCTGGTAGCAAGGCAGTATACTCATTGGAGATCGTGTCGTATATTGCGTTACGCATCGCACTTGCTGCAAGAGCCATGAGTTGAGTCAAATCAACAAATAAAAAATGCCATTAACATAGTTGAGAAAAGTAACAATCAGTTGGCCTTCTATTCAACTTTTGTATTCCGTGCTTAGTGAGTAATTGATGCAATTTTTGATTGTGTTGAATTTACAAATCATCACTAATTGTCACTACGTGAGAAAATAACGTTGTGCATTTATTTCTAACAAGACAGTGGAACATTTAATACGCTATATAAGCAAATTAACTCCTGGCAGGTAATCTTCCTTTTTCTCATATGCCTTTTTGTGATCTTTGTTTTGTTTATACTTGATATTTATTCATGTTATTCTTTATATTGTTAACTTTCTAAGTGTTTTTATTTGTTTCGGATGCACTCTTATGCGAAATATCTTGATAAAGACGAATAGGTCAAACGATAAATATTGCATTATTTTCAAGGTTATAAAGCTGTAGTGTAAATTCACATGCGGCAGTAAATTCATGACAAACAGACAAATCATTTTTTTTCTAAAAGGATTTTGTTTGAGAATTTTCACGTTTGCAGATCAAAATGTCTACTACATCGCAGAAACATAGAAACTTTGTGGCAGAACCAATGGGGGATAAACCAGTGACTGAACTTGCTGGTGTTGGAGAGGTTTTAGGAAAAAGATTAGAAGCTGCTGGTTTTGACAAAGTAAGATTGTACAGTGTATTGTGAGAATACATCAGGAATAAATATTAAAAATTAAATATAAAAATTAGGAATAGCTTGATTAAACATAATAAATAATGGAAAAGAATGAAATATAAGATACAAATATGGGAATTGCGTCATATAGCTGTTTATTTCATTCTGTTGTGTGAATGTAATTCCTATTCCTAATATTTAATATTTATTCTTATTCCTAATATATATATGTTCTATTATGTGCAAAACTTAATACTGATTTGTTATATTTAATAGTCTCTTTTATTATATAAATATGTACTAATGAATATTTAAATTTTGTCATATAGGCATATGTAGTACTAGGACAATACTTAGTACTAAAGAAAAATAAGGAACTATTTCAAGAATGGATGAAGGATGCATGTTCAGCAAATGCAAAACAGTCCACAGATTGTTATCAATGTTTAACCGATTGGTGTGAGGAATTTTTGTAAAATGATTATGAGGAATCTAATTATGGATATCCTTTTAGGGAGTATAAAATATTAGCCGTAAAGTTTTATAACATTTACAAGATATAAAATATATTTCAGTACCAAAAAAAAAAAATCGCATATTTTAAATATATCTTATATAAGTAAAGCAAAAATGTAAAGTTTATTTTTGCAAGCTTATATATACATATATGAGTCTGCATACGTGTTCACAAAATCTATCAGTATTTGTTTTGTGATATTGCAAAAAAGATTAAGGTTTAATTTCTTTATAAAATTTATCATAATAATAGACACTCGTTTTTAATTGTATTCGTATCATTATTATCAGAATTTCAACATTTTCAATGTGTGTATTTAATGTATCAACCAATAAGTCGCAAAATTCGCAAATTTTTATATGGATAAACATTCTAAAAACATTGTTACATTTTAATCAGTACAAAAGTTTTCAGAAAGGAAAGTGCAGTTTTAAATATAAGAACGTGGGTGTTGAGCCTAGAAGTGTAAATGTAACATTTATGTAGACATAGAACAAAATAAAAACAAGCGCACTTTATTCTTCACTTAACCCATAGTTGAAAAATATTGATTATACTGCTCACACGAAAATTAAAAATATATTTTATGTACATATTTTTAACATGTTTCTCATAATTTTGAACCTTTTCGCTTTTTAAATTTTCTTGATATAGTTTACATGCCCCCTACCCTTGTAAGTATGTAAGTGAGCGCGAACAAATGAATGGCTGCGTTCAGAAAATACAAGCGGTCAGTAATTATTAGTATTTATTATTGGATTCCTCAATTTAGGCCAATTATGACGAGTTAATCATTGTACAACCATCGTGTTTTCTGAATGCAACCAATTTAAATAAGGCGTGCATCCCCCATTTCGTGTTATATAACTTGTTTTAGTTCTGATACGGCTGGTTTTACCGTAAGTGGCGCTGAAAACTGTTGCCAATTTTCACATGGGGGGGCGGTTGTACGTTTGTACCTTCCGGTTAAGTCAGATTAGGTTAGATTGTATATAAGATTTAATTAGAATCATTTTGAGAGTATAGAAAAAATTATTGAAAATTTGTGCAATTTCGTAAATTCGATATCAGTGGTAAATTAGGAGAGAAAGAAAGATAGGGGGAGAAAATCCGTCATCTCTCTGCCTTGAAGGAGTGTATTTATATAAAAAAGGAAACGGATTCTCTTTGAGTTTAAGTGTTATACGGTGAAAATGTTTACAGATATCTGTGATACGTTTACATTGTGAACTTGACGTCTAGGTATATTTAGAAAAATTTATATGACGTTGACCGTCAATTTATAAGTTTACGATTTAATTGGAACAATGAGGATCGCTGTAGAGGGCTGCGCCCATGGCGAATTGGAGATTATTTATAACACTATACAAGAGATCGAGAAAGTTGACGGGAGAAAGATAGATCTGCTCATTTGCTGTGGCGATTTTCAAGCCACTAGAAATTTAAGCGATTTAGAATGCATGGCGATATCGGACAAGTACAAGGATATGTGTACATTTTACAAGTTAGTTTCGTTATTTAAAAAATTTACCAAGTATGCAATTGCATATTTTATTGGTTGCTTCTTAATGGTGTTTTTACTCGTTGATGTTTTCATGATGTTACTTATCTGATAAAAAAGAATTTTGATACAATGCATGTATGAAAAATACTATCTCTAGGTATTATTCTGGTGAGAAGGAAGCTCCGGTATTGACAGTTTTTATCGGAGGCAATCATGAAGCATCGAATCATCTTCAGGAACTACCCTATGGAGGATGGGTTGCACCCAACATCTTTTACCTTGGATATGCAGGTGTGATACAAGTGGCTGGGGTTAGAATCGCTGGGCTTTCTGGCATTTATAAGAGCCAACACTGGATGCAGGGGCATCATGAGAAGCCTCCGTATACAGATCAAACTTTACGAAGTGTATATCATGTTCGAAACCTAGAAATATTTAGACTGAAACAGGTATAAATCAATGTGTATACATAACGTATATTTCTTTGCGGATAGAACTGTTTAAATGTTAGGTGAAGTAGTCTTGTCATCTGCGATGGTAAAGAAAAAAAAAAACATATTGTACAATCTAATATATTTCCAGCTTTCTGGTAAGATTGATATTTTCCTGTCTCACGACTGGCCGGCAGGAGTAACGAAATACGGCGACGAAGACGCGCTGTTGAAGCGAAAACCGTTCTTCAGGTAATTCTTGTTGACAACCGAGTTTCGCCAGTTGTACAATTTGTGTAGTTTTGATGAGATAACATGGGCATACTTTATCATCGCGTCGTCACGTCGTCGTTTCGTCTCTTTCAGGAGCGACATAGAGAGCAATACACTCGGCAGTCCGCCGTGCATGGAGCTGTTGGAGCAGCTCTACCCGTCCTACTGGTTCTCCGCGCACCTGCACTGCAAATTCGCGGCAATCATTCCGAAGAAGGGAGAGGAAGCTCGTGTGACGAAATTTCTGGCGCTGGACAAGTGTCTGCCGAAACGGAAGTTCCTCCAGGTGCTGGAAGTGCGCTCGCAGCAGGAGAGTCCCTTACGTTTGAGCTACGATCTCGAGTGGTTGACGATACTGTACCTGACGAATCATCTGTTGAGCGTCAAGACCAGCATGCACTCCATGCCCGGTCGCTACGGCAGCGGCAGATGGATGTACACGCCCACCGCGAAGGAGAGGCAAACCGTCTACGAGAAGTTCGACTGCGACTTGCAAGTGCCGCTTAATTTCACGCGCACCGCCCAGCCGTACGATCCGTCGGCGGACGCTCCGATCGAGCCGCCACGGCTGACGATAAACGATCAGACCACGCGATTCTGCCAGACTCTGGGCATCGACGATCCGTCTACCTTGCTGCAGATCATCGCGAATAGCAAGGAGATCAGATCGGGCGAGATGTCGATTAACATGTCCTCCGTGCAGCCCATGGAGATCTCGACGTTCGACGAGGAGGGCGAGCTCCTAAGCTCTTTCGAGGAACACTCGTCGAGCAAATGCTTGAGCGGCGAGACCTCGCCCGTGAACTCGCCCAAGAGCAACAACGGTGACGACGAGTACGACGACTCGGCCGACGTGAACACGAGCGAAAACGTCCCGGACGACAGCGCCAACGACTCCACGACGTTCGTGGATTCTGCTTTTACTGATGACGGTGAGTGTCATTGTTGATTGAACTTTCTTTACTCGGCTGAATCGCGAATTCTCGCCGCAGACCTCGTTATTTATTTCAAGCGGGAGTTTCGGAGAAAGTAGGTCAAAGGAATAAATTCCAGACAACGGGTCACGTGTATTTGACACTCAAGTTGTCCATGAGAATTGAGAACACTTCTTAAGTTTATATATTTTTATTGATTATAAAAAATTGCAATTCCAATTTGCGACGGATTTTCTACTTGTAAATTGTGTAGATTATAATAGTATACCTTCTCGCTCGAGTTCGTTGTTGTGAATCAAAAGCTCTAAAGTGGAAGATGTATTTAGCTGAGTCTCAGGTTTGGCTGTAAATTCTTGAACATCAAGAACGAACTCGATGCCAATTGAATTCTCATCGTTCATTGAATTGGTCCCTGCTTAGGAACGTCTCATATCGACTGGTGATCAATGTTTCAAATGGCGTATTATTATCGTTATTATTCAATAAATACAGATTTAAGATGATATTACAAAATACTAATTCTACCGTTTTACTAATTGCAGGTAATGTACAATGTGTGCAAACTGAGCCAAACTGCAAGAAATTCAAACGTCGAAATTACTCTTTGTATTCCAACACGCTCTAAAATATAATAAAGTGTTACATTTTTATAGACAGATCCTACCACTGATTTGTTATTATTGTTATTTCCGCTTTTATATGCTGCTATCATCATAATAAAACCTTTCGGCATTTTTTACATACGGTGGATATGAGAAAGTTTTTAGATATTACCGGAGATGTTTATTTTAGTTGTATTTTCTACGTTTACAGCAGGATACGTGTATATTCAAGGTGAGGTGTGACTGGGTGTCGCTAAATAAGTAGATAAATCGATGTTAAACCGTCCACGCCGCGCCGAACATCTAGAAGTTCACTTTTCTAAGGATCTCGCTGCCCATACACGGTCGCCTGGGCGTTTTTAGAGTTCCGCCCAAACTCTCGGCCTAGGGAGCTGGACTGGTCGAATCTCCCCAGACACGCCGTATAGTGGTTGGTGCGCGGAGGGATTTCCCTCCCCGGCAGCGCTGTCGTCTCCGAAGAGATGCTCGAGTCGCAGGACGCCCGCCTGACACACAGTACGAAAAAAGGAAGGCACGAAAAATGAAGCGCGTATTCTTAGAAGCGAATAACTAAACTCTATTTATTAAAACTAAAAAACACTAGCGCGGTAAATGACAATGAGGTCTACAAATAAAAATATGGATTACAAATAACTCTAAAAGAATAACGCAAAACGAACGAAAATATGATAAAAGGCTTGGTCTGATTAACGTGCTTAGAAACTATGAAACGAATATATGTACACAAATAATACTTATGATAAAACGCAACTAACAATAATAGGTCTGCTCGTTTTCGCTGCATCGCTGAACTAATGCAATAAGTTGAAGCGAGACAAGTATATGTTTTCTCACTTCAACTTATTGCACTAGTTCGGCGGTGCAGCGAAAACGAACAGACCTAATGAGATAAAATCCTGAACGAATACTATACGAACCTAACTCGTGGAAAGAACACATATGGAAGATGGAATTGTTTCCGTGAACCGATGCGTCAATAAAAAAAATATGTCGCGACGCAATTTCGTCCGCGGCTTCTTTATCTCGCCCTATTGCGACGCAGGGCTCTCGTTGTCAACAAGTCGAAACTCGGTTTACGCAACGGACGCTTTATTTTCCCGACGAAGGGTCTCGGACGAAAGAAAATTGCGGGGGAGAACTGTGGCAAATTTATCCACCACTTACCGTCGCCAGAGCGACCGGTCGTTTCCCCTCGTCTCCCAGGCCTCTGCTTCTGGGCTTATACCGGAGCGTCCTCACAGGCTTTTCCCTTGTGTCGCTGCTCCTTGAAGACCCTTCGTTTCTTTTCTCTCTGCGCAGTTTTCGGCTCCCTTGGCTCCACGTCCTCTCGCCTCTATCGTCTGCTCGCAACTGTCCGCCTTTTCCTCTTCTTCAATTTCAAACGCTCTCTCCCTTCCGCGACACTTCCTGATTTGCTAGCGGTTTTCGCCAATCGCAGTCGCGCCTCGCCTTTGCGTTAGTCTGGGTCTGCGATGCCACCTACCGGAGGTCCTCTTTACTTTTCTTCCGGTCAGCCGCCCTCCCTTACGCGGCTGAACCTCCGGTTGCAGAGGGCGAATACAATAAATTATTAAATATTAATCCTTTTGGTAAGATTAATTATACCCAGTTTCAGTATTATGGTTTAAGTCGAATCGACGATTAACTCAACGGAATTGACCAATCGCATTCATCAATTCAGCTAATTCGCCGATACGATTGGTCACTAGATTTCGGAACGAACTTAGTATCGTGAACACAAGCCCTTAAGTCGGTATTTATGGGCTGCAGTCCAATTCACGCTTAGAACATTGTAAAGCCCGTATTAGACTATGGATTGAAGATTGAGATTGAATTGAAATTTGACCAATCAGTGTAAAGTTCACTAAATTTCATTAAATTTGAGTAGAATAAACCTTGTACTGATTGGCCAAATTCAATTTAATCTCAATCCTTAATTTGTAGTCTGACACAGGTTTTGCAGCGTTGAAAACGTGAATGGAGTCGCAGCCTATGAATACTGCCTTTAGATTTGCTTCCAGTGCGTTCCGAAACGCCATTCACTGCGCTACTTGCTAAAATAAGTGTTTGTAAATAAGAAGTTATGACGTCACGATGACGTAATTACTAGGTCTGTGAGTGCTCAAACGTTAAAGTGAGCGACGTGAGCAACATTTATAAGCGCTTAGAGCGCGTAAGCGGCCAGAACGAATGCAATCGTAACAGCCTTCGAATGCCTTTCCCATCGTGGTAAATTACAGCGAATAATTTATATTGTTATTGTTTTGTGGTTAACCGTCTCGCTGTGTCGTCAGCTGATACCAATTCTGCGAAGGTAAGATTTTCCATATATTTATACACATCAGATCGTGAAAGCAGAATAGGATAAAATCGGAACTAAATTCGGTATACTTACTGTTGTCAATCTTTAAATCCGCAGGATATTCGAACCACTGACAATTTTCAAATCCACAGGAACTTGATGCTTTTTCTTAATTTGATGCATTCATTATATCCATGTATAAAACCATTTTAAGTGCAACGTAAGGGCCGCAGGCAACTCTTTTAGAGTTACCTGTGTTTCCAGGCCCTTTACTTTTTCGTCTCAAAAAACAAGTCAGGTCTTCCAATCGAGGGTTCTTTTCGGGGTTCTCAAGGGTACGTTTAACGAATTCGATTTTCTGCAACAATTGAGTTACATTGGAGATGCTTTTGTCTTGCTGTGTTAATTTTCTCGCACTATTAGCTGATAGGAATTTTGTAGAAGTAAGAATTTCTATATTGTGATTATGTTATACTCAGATATTCTTATTTATAGATATAATGACATTCATTAGTGAATGATAACATTCGTATATCTCAGAAGATGCCTTGGCCAACAATAAGTGATGTTTGTGTTACAAGAACAAGTGTATTGTAAAATATGTCTAGATATGATGATAGGTGATTTTTTATGAAGGAATCATAAGCACTCAACTGTTGACAGTTCTGAAAGCAAAAATGGACAAATTGACTATCATATCGGGGATACTGTTTTTAGCCGCGGATATCTTTGCCATAGCTAGTTTGGCCATGCCAGACTGGATTATCACCGATATTGGAGGTAATTGCAGATATTGTCTACTCTTTCTTCTTTTTCAAAGGAACAGCCTTGTCTGTTGTAACATCTTTATATTGACAAAAATATAGTTAACCAGTTTAGTATATATTTTATGACAGTGATAGAATCGAATATTAATAGTAAAAGGAAGACCTAATGTGGAGTCTAATATCACACGTTTAAAGAAAATGTTCGAACGTGTATTCAGTATATACGTTTACAAAAACTTATAATAAAGGAATTGTGATTACACGTGTTTTTGAACACGTGTATCCACTTGCTAACTTTAAATCTGTTTATTTGTTTATACGAAGGAAGGAAAGTGTTAGTCTTGTTGCCTCTTTTTTTTTGTTTATTATGGAAGTTTCAACAAGATAGAAAAATCATCTTATACGTATAACTTGAGAACATTTTGCAAATTTAATAGAAAGAGAAAGCAGAATCCGTTTAAACGATTTAGTTATGTCGAAATGGTCTCCGTCAGACGTTTTTAAACGGATACACGCTAAACATTTAAACATGTATTCGGCGAGAGCCCTAATCTAATAAAGCTTGTAATGTTGTTCCTAGTAGATATAAATAAATACGTTATTTGCGTGATAGAGGTGAAAGATTTTATACAATAGGACGCAAGTGTGATAAGAAATTTATATGTTGTTCTAATATAATGTGTTAATTTTATGATTCTTCTCACAGGTGATACAAGATTAGGTCTCATGATATCATGCATGACCTTACATAATAGACCACAGGTTTGTTACAAATCGGATTTGCAATCCGAATGGTTGATGGCACTGGTCTTCATATTTGTGGGTTGTATTTTGATAACAGCAACCATAATATTACTGGTTAGCTCACACTGGGATCGTAACGTCATTCCTTATGCACGTTGGGTGGGATTTGGTGCCAGTAAGTATTAATATATATACACACTAGATCATATATACATGTTTGATAATTTAATATAACAAAACATGTGCATAAAATTGTACACATGTATTATATAATAACGACTTTCAAATGATTTTATCTCTGAAAGTATGAAGAACACATATAATCTAAAAATTTCATTTTTCATATTTCTTCTATCTGACTTTATTTCTGAGTTACATTCGTTTTTATATTTTGATAATTCTCCTTACAAATCGTGTCATATCATGTATATTTATATGTTTATATTTACACTGTATGTTTATATTTAAAGGAAGTGTGCAGCGTAACTTCTTTGGGCTTCAATAGAAGTCTTTAATGTGTCTTATTGGAATAATAAAATTAATCTATTAATTTTTTGATATATTTGAATATTTTGATTATTTTGATACGCTAGAAATTTTGTCTAATACGGTTAGTTATTGAAGCACAGAATTATCTGTGTAGCTCAGAAATAAGATAGAGCAAATATATGAATTTTTCATTATTTTCGTACGTTAAAATAATTCATAAAGTTACGTTATAAAATATTTCGTACAGTTAATTTTATGTTTTTAATTATAAATTTTGAATATAAATAGACGTTTATGCTATTAGTTACGATGTATTGTATAAGTGATTGGTATAATCACATTTCAGTGGTGTTATTTTGTTACGCGGCAGTTATATTCCCAATGGGATTTCATATCGATGAAATCGGCGGGCAACCGTATCAACTACCCAATTCGCATCAAGTTGGAATCTCCTACATTTTGTTTGTCCTAGCTCTGTGGATCACTGTAATTTCCGAACTTTTTGCAGGCAAAGTTTGTCTACCGCATTTTTAGCATTATTCTATGGTACGCATATTTCTTGACTATGTTTTGTTGACATGTATATTTATAGTATACAGTAATATCTATCTTAATGGTATATAGAATTATTTATATTCAGTAAAATTATATTGTTAAGATGTAAGAAATATTAACGTCGGGCGTCGTTACATCTACTTGTGGTCGTATATTAATAAGTTTAAAATAAATAGATGGGTTAAGGTTACATAGAAATAGTATTAAGAATTAATGCAGAAATCGGTTGTAAAATGGAGATAGTAAATAGACAAATAATAGTGTCATATGTATGTACACATGTATTTGACAGTA